ATGTCCAATGTAATACAAGGTTAATCATTTTGAATTCAGAACTCAAGGGCTCGAAGAAGTTATATGAAACGGTTGTTCGTTCACACTGTCTGTCTTTAAATAAAGTTTATATTGAAGTACCGGTGAAAAAAACTAGTTATTCTACTTAGCGGGGATGTTGTAGGGACGGTGAAATGTCACTGGACTGCAACCAAATGATCCATCAGTCAAGCCACTGAATGTCGAATATTTCATCGGTTCTCGTCAAGCACATTCAACGCGCATCATTTATTCGCACGCCATGGACTAGTCAATGGGATGGTCGTCAAACTCTCTTCCTTTTACCTACGCTTACTAATATATTTCTACAACAACGTATTTTGCGTCATTCAGTCTTCGAAGCAGCCATAGTACCTGAGTACGAAGAAAGGGTGATTCACGTTTGGTGATGGCCACGAAGTGTGATCTTGAAGATAGCTGATTGACCACACTGTTCCAGTCTAACTCGAGTGGGCTCACAAGCGTGCGACAGATCATGTGCGTTAGTGATCTACACTAGTGTGTGTTCTGAAGACTAAACTGTCTTCCATTATGGTCATCAAGTATCTTGTATAGGCTGTACTTCCGATGTACTGAAATTATATCTTCATCTGACAACTAAAACGCTACGTTCTGCTAAAGACTGCTTACAAGCAATCTTGTGAGTAACGTCGACTACACGAAAACTGATATGTAACGCAAAATTCCAAATACATAAACTACCGAGTGGCTGTCAAACGTGCTGTATTTGATCTTTAAGAGATTAAGTCATTTCGAAGTGTGGATAACAATTTAAAGAGACACAAACTACAACCTTCCCACTGCAAAGTTCAAGGCATCTGTGGAGTGAGTCAAAGCCACACTGTCGTTTCGTTGATTTTGGGATAGAGGAGCTGGATCATATGTGAAGTGCAAGTTGTATGGCTGCACTCAAGCTATCGATTTCAGTCCGTGCTTCCCTCAGATATGGAGGTCATCCAAATCCGATCGGCCGCCATGAAAAAGAAGAGGCAAAGTAAGCAGCTTTCTCTAACACTGATCCTCGCTTGATATCTATCCGTCAGCTAGCCTCCATACATGACTTACAGTGCAGTCCGTCATGTGAATTCCGTGCGATGTTGACAATCTTCCCATACATATCATGGTGTTAAAAAAGGTTCCACAAGGTTCTCCTACTCACGCTGTTCAATGCTTTCTCATGGTCAAGAAATTTGAGGCATAGCTCCATTCAACTGATTGCTTAACGATTATCCGTAGTGTTGCGGTTCGTTCTGTACATGACCGATCCCCACACAATCCAGCCCGTTGATCTCAAAGTTGTGCATCTACTCAGTCCTTCATCCGGTCGGACGACACTGTTGAAAACTTCCCATGTATATGACAGTAGTGTGATGCCTCTGTAGTCCTTACATTAACTGAGGCGTTTCTTTGGTATCTTGATGAGATATTTTTCCTTCCAGTCTGACGACACTCTCCGAGAAGAACGTGGGGCAATTTTGCAAATGCCCCTGACATATTGTCAGGTCGTGTTGCCTTCACACTGTTGATTTTTCCGCCGGCCGTTCTGATTTCTTCGATCGTTAGTGGAGTGACATCTGTAGGAATTTCTGTGTGTGCTGTTTCGACACAAGTGTTTCACGAAATATTCTACCTATCTGCTACTCTGTTCTTAAATTTCAGTGACTGGCCCTCCATCTTTGTCCTTGATCGATATCGCTGGTTAACCATATTCCTTTGCCAGTTTCTTCGTCGTGCCGTATAGTTGTTTTCGCTGTCGTTGACAGGTTTTCCACGTTTTGCTGCTTGGTAATTCTAATGCTCTCGTTTGCTTGCTTGTTCACCTATGTGCACTCAGCCTGTGTATTGACTTTCTATGTTCTTGTTCTTCTGTTGTTAATTACTGTTTTCTTGTTCTTCCGTTTCTTGAGTCTTGTCCAGGGTTTCGATTGAAATCCACTTCTTGCGGCCCTAACTAGCTGAAGTGAGTACTTCTTTGGTTCCTTTCCAGTTGTCCGCCATCGTAGTTTCCACCTCATTGGGTAGATTTTGTAAGGCTTTTAACCTGTTGTTCAGAGTTACCTTCGTTTCAGTGAGTTTGTCACAAGCAGTGTCATCATCTTCCATTGTCTTTCTGTATTTTTATTGATACAAATATGATTTGTCTGGTTCTGCAATAGGACCTATGTAACTTAGTGTATTGTGTAGGAATATTGTTCCGCCGGAAACCAGTTTGTTGAATACACATAGCTTTGTAAATAACTTCCCATTTCCGTTTCCCCCTTTTAGTCCATGTTTTCCCATGATACCTTCATGACCGTTACTGTCCATTCCGACTCTATGGTTTAGATTTCCCTTCAGGATGGTTAGGCGGATTCCTGAGCATTTCGCTAATATCGATTGCAGCCGCTTGTAAAACTGATCTTTGTCGTCGTTGTTGTTATCACTGATGGATGCATAACGTTGAATAACATTCATTGTGATTCCCTCCTCACTTGTTTTGAGTTACGCATTGATTACCCGGGTCCATGAGATTCCTATCTTTCAAGTGCATTTCGTGTTCCTTTGGACGACATTAAAGCAACTCCCTGAGTATGTGGAGCATTTTCTACTTCGTAAGCAGAGTACAGCAGCATCTATACAGTATCTAGCCTCTGCTTTATAGCTTGGGTTTTAATGTGGTTTACTGGTCCCGAGAAATACCAAGCTGTGTTGTGGTGTGCTACTTATATTGATACAAGTAGTATATAACGTCAGTTAAAAGAACATAATGTCTGGCAGCAGAAGATGGGGAAGATTAAGAAAGGAAGAGCGAGAACACAATGGAATTTGTAAGAAATCGCATGAACAATGAAATGTGAGACAATGGATTGATGTTTGCAATAGCAACAGTTTGGTTTGAAATGATGGAATGATATTTTGCAAATTAACGATTTACCATATGGTTTTCTATTTTACAAAGTAACTCTGAAATTTTGTGCTAAATACAATTTGGTTGTCCTCACCTATGTTCTCCTTCACTACAGTGTCACCTCATTTCCGTGGCCATTTCACTGCTCTTCCCGGTCTCTTATATTGACTGAACATCCTATGTACCTACATTAATTGCTGCTGTGGTTGTTAAGAGGGGCATCGTCTTCGTAAACTCCGAAGAATCTCGGCTATCATCATGAGGTATCACAATTCTTCCGTCAGCTCAAACGACATGATTTTAATGGTTTGATCTGAGTGGTGCTTTTTTAGTAAGGTTGTTATCTGTGGGGTGAGATTGCCAATCCTCCTCGTTTGCCCAGGCTTGGGACTGGCAGTAACTCTCGAAGAGCTACAGGCGGAGGTTTTCTATATGATGCACAATAACAGAAAAAGAACGAACAATTCAATATAGGCAATGATGTGACTTGGATTAGGTAGTCACATTATGGCAATTATTACCGTAGAGCAGATAAGTTCACTAATATTAACATAGACATTAATCTCACAAACGTAGTAATACTTCTCAACTAATAACGGTTCACCGAATAGATCTGGATTATGGTATCCGCCCAATAATGAGATTGAGTAGGAATAGTGTTACTGTTTCTTCGAATGGTTAGGCTAAATGAAGTACAGTCTACACGACAAGGTAATAGACATTTTTACACTGGTCATAAAAAACATGCTTTGTTTAAAATGTGACGAGTATTGGAAACGCAAGGATCCTTAGGGATATTTTTCGAATAATTTTATTTGTACGATCAGTAAAGTACTGTCCTATCCCATTATTGTAAATATTCGGTCAATAAACCATAATATTGTGTTTTACTATCACTTAATACTATTAATTAATTATGTACTGCTTGTTCTCTGTCACTTATGGCATGATTACGTTAAAATACGGTTTCTCATTTGATGTAATTTGGTAGTACGTGACTGGTCGAGACATCATAATCAATATTCTGAACGACGAATTCAGTACATGATACCGATTACCGCTTCAAGATATAAATGTCACAATAATGAAAAAAATATTGTGACACTTTTTGTTCTGTGTGATACAGTTTAGTCAGTTGAGAGCAAAATAACTCAACAGTAACATCATGGAAGGTGACACTGCGTGACGCAGCAAGCATCAGTACCAGAAGGAACCTAGGTACATATTACTGACTAGTTCCAACTACTAAATACTTGAGTATGATTTCAACATTCAGCATCAGGGCTAATGATTATACTCGGTCGCTCAAATTAAAGTTCGAACAAGGATGGGGCGTAGGGCCCTGTTTGCTGATGACTAACTTACACATCCTTATTTCGATTACGTTTTGTTGATTCGCTTGCAGACATATATTTTCAAGTCACAAAACAATTAAAATACTTAAACAATTGATCAGAAGTTACAGTGTTTCAAACAACTTATGTCTAATCACCCTTTTTTAAGTGTTCGGGAAAATCTACAAATTAACCCATTATTATCTTCCTTAGTTACATTGATAACATGAAAAGTTTATCACCAATTTACCTGTGTAAGACTACAAGTCACTAGAAACATATGGTCACTAAGATCCATATAAATACTTCGTATAGTATAAGGGAACAAACTTTGTAAGTTGAGCTCATTTCATTTTCCTTCTGTCTGCCGTTCAAGCGCCATAAATCTGTCGAGTACAGACGTTGGTGTGTCAAGAGGGAGAAGAAATGAACTAAAAGAATAAAAGAACTATGGAAACCTAAGGATTTAAAGGAAGACAAAGAATGAGTAAATCTGTACCATGTGACTAGATGCGATCAGTCAGTGGTTAACATTATACTGCATACCTTAATCAATTAGTTTGTATCTACCAACATGACTCATGCAAACTGTCTGATACATTTTGACCTGGCTGTCCGTTGCATTCTAACCTGTTACTGTACCAGAGAACGTCGTCAATCGACATAAATGACGGTTGGAACTAGTTCAAAAATTCACACTAGAAATACGCAACAGGAACAATAGTAGAAACAAAGAACATACTGATATCATGGGTACATTATATATAGTTTATTTTAACATACATAAATATAGTCAAAAGAAGATGTATGAATGCAGCAAGTTGATAGATAAAAATAACACTAAAACATGTGTGAAGGAGAATTGAAAAATGTAAATACTTCAAGATTTAGGCGAATAAACTGATAAACATTTATTGTCACGTTTACTGTATAGTTGTCTAGTATGACCACGAAAATTTTGTTCGTCACCATCATCATCTTCACCATCACCATCATCATCTTCACCATCACCATCAGGTTCTTGTTTATTATCAACATTGTTCTTGTTTGAAGAAATGTCATCATCACATTTCTTTGATTGTTCAACAATAACCATACTTGCTTGAGTACATTCCTCCTGTGACAATACTTCAATATCCGGATCTTCTTCATTGTCTATTACGACACCATTTTCTGTTTCTTGTTTTTCTTCTGCTTCTACCTCATCATCATCTTCAGTATCAGTACTTGATGTATCGCTACTATCATCATCGTCATCTGATGCAGCTTCTTCTTGTTCCTTAAGGATTTGTACTATTCTTTCAGGAAGTGGACGAACAGTGAACTAAAAAATATTATAGCCACAATAACCAACTATAAATGTCAACATTAGGGAATTATTTACTACTCTGAGTAATTACTAACGTCATGTTTGTTTAGTCCTTTAAAGTTGACCGAATCTTATATATCAAGTTCGAATATGTTTACTAGTCTAAGTGACTTGACATTGTATACGCCATGTTATGATGTTAGCTGGTTGGATGCAGTTCGCAGGAAACTCTGGTTGACATACGTTTTGTGCTACTCGGTACTATTCAGCCAGAAGTACCTGTAATTTTAAAAGAACTACCTGGGTACTAATTAAAGTAGAGTGCTTATCAAGCACTGAATTGCCTTCCTTCTTTAGGTGAAACTTCAATGAACATTACCAGTTATCGAGACTACCGATAGGTGATTATTGATATGATTGAAACTTTTCACCTGTTTTCGACAACTATTAAGATTAAATTGACACTACAAGGTAATTGAATATTCGGTAATATTGTAAGTTAGAGAGAGAAGTGTAAAACCTAATGAGATAACATTACCCGCAACGTTTTCAATGTTATACACAACACTTTAGATTAATAATCCGTAAATTTAGTGAATGAGTACTGCATATACTAGTGCAATTTTCATAAGACATTACATCTCAAGACTTACTATTTACTATATTTATGTTTTTCACTTTAGATATAGGGCTTCGGTACACTGAAATGTTCATAGTAAACAGTTACGGATAACTGTAAACATTTCTCATGAAGTGTTTAATAAAATATGTTGTGGACAACTTCAGTCACAGATTTTTATTTTAAGAAAAGCTGTTCAATATCTGTCATATTAGTTCAGTATGATAATCGTTTGGTTTTCTGAACATAATTACCAAATCAACTTAGAATAGGTTGACTGCTCAGCTTGTGCATATGTGTGATGAAGTTGTGTAATAACAACAAGAAATATAAGTCGGAGATTATGTTATTCAATAAAAAAGCAACAACTATATATGAACTTCCAAATGTTTGTCTGTTCGTTCTAACAAACATATTAAATTAGAAGCGTTCACAATCAATAAGGTTAGAAACAATGTTGTCAGTGGTACACTTTATAATAGATGCATGAGATATATAGAACAAATGATTACAAATATTTAACTGGTATTTATTTAAATAAATAAGTGAATGAAAAACAGATTTTTAACATGGTAACTATTCTGATTATTGAATTTTATTGGTATACAAATAAGATCAACAGTTCTGAAATGACAGTGAATATTTGCAATTTAGCTGAATATTTTTATTGTTATTGAGTTATATGTATTAGAAAATGGTATAATTACGGAACTTTTGTTGTCATTTTAAATAACAACATTAATGTCTACTTTATGAATAAAAGATGTGAATGTAAACTCTACAATTTAAGCCATCTAGTACAGAGAACTCAAACAATATAAAGCCCCCCCCCCAAAACCTTGGTATGACCGAGGGTGGGTAGAGTTCGCTTTGCTTCTTGAAATGCTCTCACATAGCCACGTATATACAGCCACTACCAGGGAAATCCTACTCATGGCCTTTTCGTGGCGAGGGTGTTGTTTACGAAATTAAGAGAACGAAAGGCGAATGTTCTGCGCTTTAACCGGGTTGGTGGATATGGAGAGTTCATCTAGGGAAGTTGGGAAACCCTGATTCCGAACCATTGGTGCATATGGGCTCCAGGATCCTGAGGGAGCAAATGGCGTATGTTAGTCACCGGCTACCATGAAACTGTACCTTCTTACGTTGATCCACTGCCTTGTTGATTAGTCAAGTGCTCAGGGAGTGACTCCCTAAGAAAACCATCTGCTTCAGTTTACATCGAATAACAAAGTGTGGCGCATATATATTTGGTGCCTCTTTGTACCAGTGTTTATGTGCTTAAATAAATAAAATAATATAAAAAACTAGTTCTGTTCCTTCTTGTAGTTGATCAGTTACCCTACTTGTTGCTTTTTAAGTGATTGTTACCATTACAAGAACTCTTTCTAAAATTTCTCTTGTTGTAAAATTCTGCTAAGTGTATTGGATAATACAGATTTTAGTCTTAAGTTTAACACGTGATAGATAGATATTTATGAATAACTTGATGGCAAGAACAATTGATTCAGAAATTTGCGCAATAATTTTTGATGATTTGCAAAGTAGCTTCTATGCATAGAATGCGATTTTCTTTGATACAATTCGTTCGATACTAAAGGATTACACAAGCATATAACAAAGTCACTAGTCAGTGATCAATCAACTGTAAATATTTTAGACTTGTCTTATATGAAGTCAACAGCGATTCATATACATCAGTGCTAACATCTCAGAATGTGAAATTAGATAATTTGGGCACATATCTAATAAGGAGAAACATCGGTTCCCTCAAGATTGGAGGTAGGATTTGTTGACGGGTGCCGACCAGCACGAAACCTAGGGCAAGGAAGGTTTCATGAGAACTACCTCCAACCAGCTAATATCACAACATATTACAAGCGATATCAAGTCACGTAGACTAGTGGACAAATCAGAACATGATAGAATCCGATCAGAAATAAAAGAAAACAAAAACATGACATTGATAATTACTCAGTTATTAAGTAACTATAAATGATCTTTTTACCGTTGTATACTATTTTCGTTACGAACAAGTGAAGTAGTCAACTGATTATAAATCAAAGAGTTTTAGATTTTGATCGTGTATTCACCTTATGTGTTGAATAGTTTGAACAGACTTTTTAAGATTTATTTAGGTTAAGTTTACACTTCACTGGCCAAGTGATTAACTCGAACTGCAATGGAGAATAAAAGAATACTATGTGGATATTTGAACTATTATATTAGTTTAACTCTAACTGCTACGATCATAAAAACTGTTGAATAGAACATTAAAGTGTGAATCATACGTTTGTACAAATATATTATTAACAGTATAGAACGCTTTATAACTATATGTGTGTAAGTGCTATGTGTTCTCTAAGCTTGACAGTTTACCATTGAAGCTTATCACTGTATTCTAAACATCATCAGAGCCTACTTTAAAAAGTAAGCCGTTTTTAAAATTCCATTACAGCTAATTACCAATTGCTTGTGTTGACCTAGAATTTGATGAACTGTTCCCCATGAATGTGTGACCAGTGTTGCTTTCTCTTCTCTGAACTGATCTCAGACATAACAGCCATTTATCAAGCTTAGAGAACACAACATTTCCACAATGATCATATTGAACTACAAATATTTCCCATTATATATAGCATAAACTAGACAAATCACACAATCCAATAAGATATATCAAAAGCAAACGGCATAAAAATAGAGACATACACGAATACATTCAGTGAAATCACAATCCATGTAACTATCTGATCGAACGGATAGTACGTACAAATACTGACCAGGGATAGGAGGTGCCACAAATCTAAGTTGTAGCTGTAAAATGAATTATTATCGGAAAAACAGAAATAAATAAACTGTCTGCAAAAAACTATATATATATATATTTTTTTTTCTGTGAAGTTACGGTTAGAAATAACTGCAAACTCATCGGAATGGGGGTGCGAAAGTTGTTCAATTTTATTGATTTCACGAACTGATCTAATTTAGACAAACACTGAAAACTAAGATGCAGTGAACGGTTGTCTAGTCCTAGATTTTGACACTTCAGCAGTGAGTATTCACAAGCCCAAACCCGGGAATCAAACCCAGGATCCTTGAAAAGGATGAGGGTTGTGCTATATCGTGAATTGACTGAAGTCACGTTATCACCGTTTAATGCCGACTCAGTGGTCTAAAGGTTAAGCGTTCGCACGCAAGACCGAATATCCTGGGTTCAATTTTCAGTTACGGGGTCATGGGTGCCTACTCTTGAGGATTCCCTAATACTAGGAGGAAACGGCACTCCAGTACTTCTACATTTTTCATAGTGATTTAGCCAAGATCTGTTCATTACTTAAGCCATAAAAATCGGTATATGTTTAGGTTATATAACGAGTTGTAAATACTTTCATGTACAATTTCATATAGCTTTTCCTAAATTATTAGTGCTCAGAACCCTTCAAAGGTCGACAAAATGATAATATGATATAACGATCTCAGAATCATGAAAACGAAACTTCTTGATTTAAGCTTAATTTTCCAACCTACTAGTTAGTATTATTTTTTAAATAAAGCTTAAAATAAATCAAAGACACTATTTTGATCCAGATCAATTTGGTAGCATATAATATATTAATATAGTTGCATAATGGACAACTGACTAGCTCTAATTTTCGCAACTTCTCAGCTGTACTTATCCACACATATTTATATAGGTTTTAATAATTTTTTTAGGTTTCGCGGAGAGTATGGTTATTGTTGTCATATTGATGAATCAAAATTTTATCAGAAGGGGTTTCGTGGAGATTTTAGAAATTTCACTGGTTGAAATCATGAGTCAATTGAAGCTAGACCACCATATAAAACCTGGAAGCAATGGACGGCCGTTTTGTGTTAGCACCGTTGGATACCGACTCAGTGGTCTAGTACTCGCGTGCGAAACCAGTAGGTCCTGGATTCAAATCTCGCAGGGTGCAAGGTCGTAGATGCGCACTGCTGAGGTGTCCCATACTAGGACGAAACGGCCGTCCAGTTCTTCTATGGTGGTCTAGCTTTGATTGACTCATGATTTCAACCACTGGAATCAAAATTTAACAATTCACATTTCTAGCATTAATCTAAAATAATATAATTTAGATTATGCATAGTTTACAGGTTGTAATAACTATGTGCGAAAAGATTATTAGTTAACAATGAAAATAAAATTCTAACCGAACTGACCTCTTCTTCAGTTTGTAATGTGGCAATGTAAATAGGTTTAGTGATAAGTTGACGAGTTTTTCTATCAGCTAGATATATCCACCAACCTTCAAATTTCTCCTGTAAATAGATGGTAAACGTAGGTGAAGTATTAGGTACACACATAGGTCATGAAAAGGTGAGTCACTTTTGTAATTTTTTTTAAAAAACATCCACTAATCAGATCGTATATGAAATAATTCAAACAATTTCATTAGATATTAAAATTTTAGAACTCAAATTTAAAGATATCGAAGGATTGATGACGCGAACATATTACTGAAGGATTTGAATCCGAATATCACTCCCAACTTCTCACATTATCTAACATCTTCGCTTATATTTTCAAAGATTCATAGGATATTGAGTTGAGGAAAGGGAAAGATAGTTCAGTTAATTCACTTTACAATAAAATTTCATCCAGACTTTCCAGATTTCCCAATTGATGAATATAAATCCATTTAGAGATGGTATAGGCTTAATGAAAATACTATCACACACACGACCCACAACCAAGTTTTTAGTATTGTTACAAAATTGAAAAGAATTAATATTCGGAATTAGATTTGATAATAAGTGTTTAAAAACACCCAAGAACTACATATAATTGAGTAACCATGTCAGTGTTGACATTAGTATGGGAGATGAGATCAGTTTATTTATAACGAATCGCACAGTGGGTTACTTCTAAATCCAGGTTATTTTTTGACTACTCACAACGTCAGTTTGACTATTACAATATCTAGTATGAAATGTTAAACTATAATCGGTTCTGTTATTCATTTTTTGAACACAGTTCGTATAACCTGAGGATATTCAATGACACTGTGTTCGACTACTGTTGTTTGTGAAAAATTGTATGAAAACAGTGGAGGTACTTTGTAATTAATATTGACACTTAATGACACCTATTTAGATAAAAACTATCTTCTAAGAAGCGATGATAATGATACTGGAAAATCATACAGTTTCGAGTACGGATTAACTGATTTTAATTAGCCAGAATTACGACTTACCACAGGAAAATAAGGACAATGTACAACATGTGTACAATGTGTTTTTGAATCCATCATACTAGATAATTTATTGTGTGGTTTCATAGGTTTTCTACTTGAAGATTTATTTGTATTTAATGAAGATGGTAAAGATGATTCAACGAAAGTATCCGTTGTGATTTTTCTTTGGACTTGTCCATCATCAATATGATTTGGTTGAACAGATTCATCTTTTTCTTTTATAGAGAACTCTGATGGAACCGATGAATTGGTAAAACCAATATGATCTGGGATCTCTGCAAGTAAAAGGCATAGAGAGATAAAGCACATAGAAAAACTTAAAATGAAAGTTTGAGACTGTGAAAAGTAGCAGAAGAAACAACAGCAACTTTGAGTAGGCAATAAAAATGAAAGGGGAAGGTTTCAGTTGTTAAAGAGGTGACGTATCAATAGTACTACCCTATTCGACCACTAAATAGCATATCAGTTGACAGTAACTTAATAAACGTAGGCATATTTTTGACACCACTTACGTGAAATAACTGTCAAAACAAACCCTCACTAATTCTTATCGAAGATGATATATATATTCACGAGTAATTTGATCAAGACATCATTTTGTGTACAGGGATGTAATAGTAAACTATTATGTTAGCTTGATAAAGTGATCTGATAAGAAACGATTATTCTCTAAAAAATTATGATTTAAAGACATACAGTGAATTAATGAACATTACAAACATAGAGATGAACAAGAAGTTAGACATGGAGAATCTTAAAACTTCCTAACTAGCATATTAAAATCTAACAGATTTATTCGATTTTAATATGTGATGCTTTTTAATTATAACTAATATAAATGTTTATTTCTCTGACTATACTGGTTACAGTATTCTGTGATATAAAAAAATCTATCTTGAAATAAGACATTGCTAATGAAGTTTGACAGAATTAATCCAATGCGAATGTCAGGTGCTTTGATTGGTTTAGTGGATACGGAAGATCCATCTAGGGGAGTTGGAAAACTCTGAGTCCAAACCAGTGGTGCACATGGACACCAGGAACCTGAGGGAATAAATGGTGTATGAACCTATTAATGATCACCAGATACCATGGGACTGCATCTACTAACGTTTTTCCACTGCCTTGTTGATTAGACCTCTAGGTCAAAGGCTCGGGGAGTAGCTCCTTAAGAAAGCCACCTGGTTTGGTTTGGGCGCCCGGGCAGCATTTCAGCCCTCACACATATCGGATGACGAAGTGTGGTGCATATGCATTTGGCGCCTCCTTGTGCCAATATTAACATGTATGAATAATAATTAATTAATCAATTCACAAGCTACACGGTATATAAGATGTCAGTCGATTGATCTACGAGTAGATCAAATTACTGACTGAAAATGTTACTAATACAAGGGATACAATGTTAGAGGACTTTCAACAGAACATTGAATATAATATAAATTTCATTTCTACAAAATATTTAAATGAACAACCTAAAACGAGGTAAACAGTATAATAATAGATGTTATCACAGGTCAATTCAACTTGAGTATATTAAAGTGAATGGCATTTGTTTCTACTGAAGCACAATTACAAAAATACTATGCTCTTTTTGTTTGCATTTTTGTAGCCATTTTGAATAATCTTTTGTAAAGTAGAACTATCAAGGTAGTTGCCTCCTTTGTCACTCTTCATAAAATCTGTTAAATTTGTTGAGAAAGCAACAAATTATGCTGTTCAATAATCGCAGTGTTTAAAACATAATTTCAGAGTACTAACAGGGTGAAGAGGATTTCAACGTAACTGTACTAATCCTTGAAGTTAGTAACTATTATTCTGACTGATGTGAAATGTTTTTTTTGAGGAGGAGTGGTGGAAAGTAGTAATCATTCTATGCAACATGTTTGTAGCTTTGTCATGTTTGAAATCAATGATCTTATGAAGTAACAATTTAAGTAGTACAAAAGTTACTTAAACTTCTGGATGTTCAATGTTTATATATGTTGTCAGTAAAATGTTGATGAATATATATTTTCGATAAGTATTTTTCTCAGACAGTTTAATTCTTTCCCCTGCGATATCAAGAATCCAAACATGTTGGATTCATGTAGCGTAAGAATGTTGACAACAATATGGAATTTGAAATCTACAGAAATAGAGAATTCATCGTTTTACAAGAACACGAATTTCGAGAATGACAAAGATATAGAAAACTTGAGAAGAACAATTTCTACCTTTCTCAGAAGAACATTGTTCAGTCGATAACTTTTAACTCGTTAGTTGATGTTAAACTAGCAGTAACGAAACGCTGAAGCTGTAAAATCTAGAACAAAGATAGACTAAAAACAATTGAACACACAGGGGCTGAATAAATGACAGACGCTAGCAAGAATAAGTATTGATCCAGACATACATGTTTTACCACAACGTAGCAACAAAAAGAAAATTAATAAAGTGGGAAAGTAGATAAAAAGAAATGACAGTAACAACTATAGTAAGAAGCTGCTAAACATGAGTGATATTTGTTAGTGAAAGTAAAATATGATTGGTCACTGAGGGTGGACAAACAGACTCAGTCTACTGACTATTGATTATGTGATTTCCTTTCCTCTCATTCATTTCTACTCCAGACTCCCTGAATTTGACTGCTTGTAATTGTGTGGAATAAAGTATCATGTAGTCTATACTTTGGTTATCTTTTCTGGATCATGAATCCTAGATCTAATATGACGCAACTAGTCTCATTGTCGTGTTAACGTAGTTCACCTGAGAGTGCAAAATATTTTAAACCATTCGTTACACCAATGAGAAAATATACAGAAGAGATGGAATATGGCTAAAAATGAAATACAGAACGCGGATTACATCTTACCTGAAACTCATCGACTAAATATACCTATATCTCAGAGTTGTTCACTCACAGATTCAACACCGATACTCGTCTTTTTAAACTCCAAAACACTATAATTTACCTAGCAAGTGAGTTCAGGCAGCAAATAAAGATTAATTAATTCTAGTTCTAAATATCAGAATGGAGACCTGTGGAGATTGTAGAATTTTAAGAGTTGAGTCGTGGATTCGTGCTGCTGAGTCCCATACTAGGACGAACCGACCGTCCAGTACTTCCAGGTGTCCAATGGTGATCTAGCTTAGATCGACTCGTGAATTCAACTTTGAAAATTCTAAACATCAATTGAAGTATTAAAACAATAAATACAATTGAATTTAAACAACAACAACAAGTATCACTTACTATCAATGCCAACAACAGAATCACTATCTTCTTGTTCTGAATCAATTTCATCTGTAGGATTGATTTCCAATTGGTTGACTTTTTCGGATCCCAATGAAGAGTTTTTCTGTTGTTGTTGTTGTTGTTGTTGTTTACGTGATTTATTTTTGCGTACACCTTTTTTTCTTTTACTTTTATCCCAAACAGGTGGAGTGGCTTTCTTTGATGACTTCGTTGAATTGCCAACATTATCAAACTGAAATAGTACAAGGAAATTATAACGAAAGGAACACACATACGCACAAAATACAGAATGTTATATATATGGAAGATAACGAACAGATACATGACTCAAACACTTATGAACAGAGTAGGACTAAAGATTAAGTATTAGTGTATAGTACTAGATAAATACAATGGTTATGCTACATGTTACATGTGTCCAGTTCTCTATTGCCTCAAAGTAGTATGATGACTAGTATAGAAATAGGTTAGAAGACCATATAGAAAAGTATGGTGCCGATTCATTAAGTCACAAATTGTTAGTTTGTTTGTACAGAGAGAATGTACACTTTTAGGTTAAAACTTATGCGACAATGAACAATGGGGAAAAAATCATTCTACCGAAATATTCATATTATGTGAAAATAAGCATGACAGTGATCAACTATGTAGTAGGACCGAACTATACAACAGTCAATGTGTTTCATGTAATTTTTCAAGAACCAGAGCAAACATCGATAAATATTTCTTGCAATAACAACAGAAAAATATGCTTAACTACAATTGAATTAATATGACGTATTTGTGAAATTGTAGTTGAAATCACGATCCGATTATATCAAGAACAGTATTGGAAACCTTGAGGCTCTGGATGATCATACTAATAACAGTTATGTGCTTCAAAATGGATTTGTTGGAGTTCTAGTGAGAAGCCGTGACCAGTGGAGTTTAATTCGAGTTGGGACTGAGACAGTTACGCATGATCATGGATTGATTAAAGTTAGACATTAACACCATTGGATGCCGGCTTAGTGGTCTATAGGTTAGGCATCCACGCACAAGAGATAAGCTTCTGTATTTGATGTTTTTTACCCGCTAGGTCGGGAATGCGCATTGGCGATGAGTCACAAACAATTAAAATAACAGAAAACCATGTAACAGAATAAATGAATGGTTCAACAACAACGATGACAAAACAAAACTTCAACTTACTACCTTATCTTCATCACCACCACCACTGCCAAGAAAATCATCATAATTCAACGATTTTAACGTCTCTGTACCATGTATATCTGCGACAGGATAAAGTTTAGAATTCAATGAATCACTATTATTATACGCATTCCAGTCAAGTTGCATTGTTTGACCACGATCGAAATAACTTGAATCGGATAATGTAGTAGGAGAATTAGTAGTACCGGAATTAGTAGTAATTGTATTAATATTAGTGGTATGTCCATTAACGTTTGTAGAATTATTCACTGCATTCGGATCTAATAATGGTTTACGTTTTAATAGAACAGTAACTGTAACCATACTAAATGGCCAAATACTTGAATCATCTTCATCTTCATCTAATACCTAATGGATTAAGAAATAGAATAAAAAATTTGCAAGTAGAACGAGAGAGGGAAACAAAATAACTGTATATCTTTTAAGATAGTTTGCGATCTATATAACTGGAAACCTTTAGGAGGTGATGAATACATGATAGTAGAAATTGCAGCTTATGTAATAATGACAAAGAATGTGACTAAACTTTCTTTTTAAAGTTGAAATATTAAATAAGTAAGTTAGCATAATATTTCATCGACTGAGGTGGTTGGAACAAGTATTACATGTGTTTAGCAACTGTCTACCTTGACAAAGGACGTTTGTTTGGAAGGAAGCTAAGAGTAGCTAAACCAAAAGGAGGGCACTCCTTAAAATCGACTGACGATTAGTTTGCGTCGTGTAGGCAGATATAAACTGAATGTTTAAAGTCAGTTCAATCATTGTAACGAATGGTTGAAGATGTAGAGTAATATGACGCAGATATGTATTATTCACTTTTTGACTTTCTTTAGATCTTGAATAATTTATATTTTTTATTCTGTGAATTTAATCTTTCTTCTCGAATGATAATGCATATTCTTAAAGTTTTCAACTGGCATTGATGTTGTTACTACTCCAACCATCCGGGCACCTATCGTAATAATTTTATCTCACTATGCTGATATAATGTAGGGATTCGAATCGATGAATATATGTGCTGTGATTTACATTGCTTATGACTGATCGAGATAACGTCCATAGAAACTTTGGGATAAGGGAGCTTTTTGGCAGTATGTGAATATAGTTTGGATGTTTGTAAATAATGAAGCTATACAAATAGAATAACAGTTATATCATGTTTGTTTATTATTCAGAGCTGATCAAATTTTATCGACCAGGTTGCGATGTAGTGACTCATACAAGTAAGTTGACATTCGATGGATTTTGTTTCGATATCAGTTAGTAATTGAAATAAACTGGTAGACCTGTATTCACATTTCGTCTTTATCGAGACTAACCAGTAAAGCAATCGCAATAATGCGATTATGGACAGTTGAATATGCTGATAAGGTATCCAAAAAAAAGAATTAAAAATCAAAGATTTCTTGTAATAGTCCAAGCTATGTTATGCTACAGAATTTTATTGACAAAAATTTAAGACATTTTGGTGTGTACTTATCCTTCTAAAATCATTCATCACCAAATAAATGAGTATTCAACAACAGTAAAAATAAAGAAAGAGAAACAGAGTTCATCTTTTGCATTGAGAAATGAAAAAAAGAACAATAGCTAATTACTATAGAGAATTTGTGAAGACTATAGGATTTAGTAGTTTAAAAATTCGAATTATCGGATGCTGATATGGAAGTTTAGAGGTTAAGCGCTCCGTATGGGTCCTGAAGATCATAGGTCTTAAACCCTGACAGGTCTTGGGAGTACTTTGTTGAAGAACCCCATACTAAGACGAAACAGTTTTCCAGCGATTTTCGGTTTCAAATGGTTGTCTAACTAAGATTAACTTGTGATATAAACTTTAAAAAACGATTATCATGAAAACGAAATACACATCGATAGCATGAAATGAATCACTTACTTCACATCGATAGGATAATTCTAGATAGGGCATAGAAGAACTAACTATAAGAATATCACGATATTGTTCATCAGAAAGACTTCGTAAAAGGGCTCTACGTTTATCATCTGGTAAATTGATCAACTGTCGAACAGATTTAATATTACGCTGTGAAGGGAAATATATATTCAATATGTTGATTAAATAAATATGGTTAGAAATAGGAACCTTTTATATTCCGCTAGATGTTAGTTTGCGATGAAAATTATCATTTAAGTTATACGAAATCTCCACTAAGTAATTGTATTCAGTAATTATCGTATGATCATTAGTCTTTAGTTTCTTAAGATGAATTTCCCACCGTCCCACTTAAAAATAGTCAAATATTTAGTCAGGATAGTAGTCACTCATTAGCTATATAAACTGCCTGACAGTCAGACTTTTGGTTAATCAACTTATATTGAAAATACAGACTATTTGATTTTGATTTAATGAGAAATGTTGAAGTTAGATGAAGGATAATACACAAAGATAGTGAAACGATTGTTGAGGTAGGGAGTATTCATCAACTGAGGTGGTTGGGACATTCATGTAAGACAGTCGATAATCTTTATGTGCAATGTTTGCAGGTAGGAAGAGAGTTGATGAGGCAGCTAAACCAAAACGTAACATAAACTCATGAAACAACTGACTGTTCAACTGAATCATGTTAACAGGTTCGGATTATTTAGATAGGGTTCTCGCGATTATCATTGGAAATGTTGGTCGATAACAAGGTAAATGGATTCATTCCATGTGTTTTATGGGATCCTGTACCTTTTTTGTTTTGCAAATTTCTTCCACCCTAAACCAAACTGTTTATGATTAATGTTTCCTACTACTATTATAGATACTCTTATTCCTTCTATTACTCTGGCATTAAGTTCTGACATTATCATTTCGTCGTGCCATTATGGTGTAGAACGTTAAACGGATGCATATATCTCCGACAAGTACAGCTTGCTGAAGAGTGCCGAATAGCAAGAAACCCGGGTCCATGGTTTCCCGTTGGCTACTTACAACCGTCATCTCATCTCAACATAGTGCACACAATGTCGAGTCGCCTGAACTAATGGCTATATTGCAACTTGGTTGGTAGGATTCGATCTGCACTAAGAAGGACCTGACACACATGACATTGATCACCACCCAGTGATCAATCAATTGCAAACATTCTACGTATTTAACATACTATCATTTGTAATGATGAAATTTAGGAAATCTAAACGTATTCGTGGTCGTCAGTATAGGGTTGTGAAGATCGTTGAGTCTCATTGAAATCATGAACCGATAAATGCTAGGCCACCATCGAAAGCCTGGAAGCACTAGACGGCCTTTGCATTATACTACGAGACTCCTCAGCGGTGTGAATTCACGGTATTGCACTCAGGAATCAAACCCAGGACCTTCGGTTTCGCGTATAAACGTCTAACATATACACAACCGAACTGTCACTAGGAAGAAACGGTCGTCCAGTGATTCCAGTTTTCCAGTGTTAGTCTAACAATGATCGGTCTATGATTTCAATGAAATATTAGTGGTCATTTAATGAGATAGAAAAGGTTTATATCGTTTACAGTAAACTCACTTGTTTAGTCGCCATATGTCTAAGTTGAGTTTGAGTGATATGTGGAAGTTGGAGTAACGGTGAAGCATTGTCCGTAAGTGCTTGAACCAGCATCGGAATTAAATGCATACAATTTTCTATGGTAGCTAAGTGTTGCGGTGTTTTATGTCTTGAATTAGCTAGAACAGAACAATACAAAAACAATAGGTGTATTATATATATATATATATAACTGATTGATCATTGAGGAGTAACTAATATCATGTTTGTCTAGCGTTTTCTAATACTGACCGACTTCTTTCGAACAAACTGGAATGGACCAGGCTTAGAAATGAATAACATAGATCAATTATAACCTTTATTGTATAACGCGTATCAGATTCACACTTTTTTCTTTGATAACATCGTTGATTAAATAATGTCAAGTGTGTACATACAAGTCACTCTGTTAAACTCAATATCGATAACAAAAAAAACACAACTTAAGCAGTAGAATAAAAGCAAGTGAACAAGACCTTTAACAAGTCCAAAATGTTTTACAAACAAACCTCTGAATTATGAGAAGTTTTAAAACAAGACAGAAATAAATGTTCCGTGTATCGTTTTCCAATATATCTAAACTATTCTTTTACACAGACAACAGTTCATAAGAAAAACACATTTCAAATTGTGGTATGTAATTCAATGCTTCAAGAAACATCTAGGAATTTGTTAGCTGTGAAGAATGTCAACTATATGTCTGGTGGATTTATTTATCAGGTAAAATAATGGTTGAGTTCATGAGACAATTGAAGATAGACCACCATGGGAAACCTGGAAGAATTGGACGGCTGTTTTGTCTTATTGTGGGATAACTCAGCAGTCAGCATCCACGATCCAGTGCTTCCAGGTTTCTATGGTGGTCTAGCTTTAATTGACTCATGAACTCAACTATTAAATTACTATTATATCCACAAAACCCCTTTCGTATATTAGGTAAAAGTACAAATTAATGTTAATTAGACAGATTTACGAATGGTAATGATAAGAATGATAAAGAAAACAAAATTTCTAGTTAACATGAGAAATATGTTAAAATTCAATCTAAAAAATTGTTAAAATAATAAGAACACAAAATAATATAAAAATTACGTAACAGGAAGTGTGTAAATAATTAGATAGTGTAAAGTACAAATGAAAAAAGGTGAAAAATGACAAATAAATAGAGTGTGAAAAAAAATCAGTATAAATCGTTTACTATGTTATATACTGTCAAGGAAGGAACAAGGCTGTCACAAATTTCTTCTGAACATATACACGGGGGTTATAGGCTCGAATTCTTATAGCTTCTGCTATATGTATGAGATAGGGTCGAACCCCATTACGAAATGATGAAGGTACGCGATAAATTATTTTAAATGATTTGGCTTTATTTATCATATGACCACTGTTAATCAACTGTGCCAAAATAAAACTGTGTATTATCTTTGCCTGATCTTTTCCAAACCAAGCTGGGAAATGTTCACTTATTTGTTAGTTAAATTACCTGATAGTATCCCAATTATAGGTATCGCTACAGGAGCAGATGAATTTTTAAATGCACATTGAAGAGGTTAACTCAGGTAACTAATCTTTTGTTTGAGTAGATATCACTGGTCTATTAGAAAGCGTCAACGTAAGATCAGCTAAGTAGAATAACCTATTAACTGCTCCCCTCTAATCAATCATGCAGGACATCGCCAGCAACATTCCCCGTTAAATGTTAATCAAGATATTAGCTGTAAGTTGTAAAATTGTTTCTAATGAATCAACAATTTAATTTATATTATTATTAGCAAGGATAAAGAAATAACCAGTGGTCAATATTCTCAACCGTATTTTTAAGCCGCGTTCGTCGGCAGATACACTGAGGACAGTTTGCCTCGATATCGTCATATTGTCAGATGTTTACGTAGAATAAATAGCTTGTGGATAATAATGGAATTTAGGATGCGTCTTTCGTCCTATTTTGAACCTGTTCAGATAAATGCACCAACATACAATTTTGACGTTCGTATTGAAGATTCAGCACAGCACTTTACTGTTTGAACCTTAACTATTTGTGCGCAATTGAATAATCATGACTTATTTGATAAGTGATACACAGAAAGAATATCAATAATGCCAGTTTAAACGAGCAATACAACTCAATACTCGATGTGCTAAAAAAAGGCTTAGATATATTTTTACACGTAATTATCATTACTTTTTTTTAGGTCATCATCATCAGCAAGGAGTTGAATTCATAATTTGGAAGGAATATATAAGTGATCTATGTAAAATTCGATTCATCCAACCACTGTCACCCTAAACAGCTATACGGTCATAACTTCTGATATATATGAAGACAGTGACTACTAACTACGTAACAAAGTCTATAGGTTATCATCTGGCTGATTCTGAAATCCTGTTTCTCACGGTAAGACCATGTTAAATTCCTTTTCAACAAGGACAGTACGCAAGAAGGCAACAATGCTAATAATAATAATATATTTAATGTTTAATGATTTTTATTATTTCATTATTAATATTTTTGACTGAAACTTGATCAATCTTGGCTGGCATATATGCAGCCTGTTAGGATTGCCTCGATACTGCCATTATAACATAAGTTTACATTAAATAGATAGAATATGACTAGTAATGGGATCCAGAACCCGCGTCCTATCAATTGTGGGATGTAGGTACAGTCAGATAACTAGCCCCAAATAGGACAAAATGCGTTGATTCCACTACTAGCCACATTTAAACTATTCTACCTCAATAAAAGTAACAATAATAACAGTAATAATGGTAGGTACTTGACCAAATCAACCTCAAGGTAACAGATAAGTTTTTCTAAAAAAACGAAATTACGTCGCTCAACAAACCTTCGTCCATTGCCACAGCTAGAACGTATAGCAAACTGTTGATCATTTCGTCAATTAACCGAGGCGAATGTTTAATAATATACTGTCTATCTGTAAATATGAAAACAAAGACACAAGGGGAAAAATATAAACAGACCAGAAAAAACCGCCCAGGACAGAATGTTTGATAAATTATTGTGAATGAGTTAAAAATTAATGAAAAGAAATACGGATTGTATAACTATGATCCCTGGTTAAACACACGCCTTGGGTAATATAGTTCACAATCGATCACAAGAGCGTAGATGTATAACCTCTTTATATTATTGAATGTCTTGTGATTCAGTATAACTTCATACTTACCTTTTCATTCCATTCTCTTGAAATATATTTTCAACGCATAGCTTTTCTTATTATCAAAGCTACTACATTACTTTAACTCCTTTACTAATTATTTTGATCTTGTGTGTGATAATTTGATATGATAGCTTAGGTCAATGAATATTTGTGCCACGTCCCAAGTTGATTATGACTGGATGACTGAAACACAGGTTGTTAAATTTTACTCAAATGACTTCTGTTACATGAACGATACTGACAAAATGCAATACTTTGAAGCACTTAAAAAAGAAACCTAAAAGTGCCTAAAAGAATTCCACGACTTCCTTATAATAAACACTGTCTAACGATTTATGATCGTATTTTATGATTTAACTTGCCTACATCTTAGTGTGCTTCACAAGGAATTTTGTAAATAATAGGAGATATGTGAATATTGTTTAAGTACACATCACCGACTGAAATTTGTTAAACAGCTATTGAAAGCCAGGAAGCACTGGACAACTGTTTCACCCTATTATGGGATGTCTTAGCAGTGCGTATTCACGATCCGTCGGGAATCGGACCCAGGAACTTAAGATCTCTTGGTGGGCATATAACTTTTAGACTACTGGGTGATATGTTTAGTGTGTTTATTTTATAAGGCCATTTAATTCCTTAATAAAGGTTTACTCTTCTGCTTTTGAGAATAGTTAGAGCAGATTGGCGAAGTAGTCATTCTTTATTCAACGACAAGAATTCCTTACAATTAATTACCGATTTATACTAATGATTACTAGGTTAGAAAAGCAACAACTTTCAAGCGGACAAAATAAACAAGGTTGTATTTTAGCTAGGGAGTAGTTAAACTTAATATACGACAAGAAACAGAGGTGAATAGTTACTGACTATTGATTTTAGCAAACTAGAAATACCCTCGGTTGTCGTCCACAAGATGTAAGAACGATAGTTAAGAAATCTCTGATAATATTAAACACTTTTTACATTCCCATCGATACATTTGAGCTAAGTTTTCTTCAACATTTTTGCAAAGAGTCGTCAAACTGCCTATGAAATAATCTATTCTGGAGTTCTATGCTATTACTTGAGGTTCTGTCCGTCAGAAAAGAGCGTACGCATGTGATCCAAGTAAGTACACAGTTTACATAAATATAAATGTGTGCAAGGTGGTTGAGAACAGTCGGTTGGTAGGGAACTCTGAACCTAAGTTCCTTGCTGGTTGGAGCTTGTAAATGATGTGTACCCTTTATGGAGGGTCAGTCGTTAGCCGGATCATCGAGTAATATCACAGACTAAGAGACTGGATGGTACGGGTTTTCATCAATTACCTTGAGGTTGAAGCTATACCATTTTAACGAACCTGAACCAAAACGAAACCTATATTTAAAGTTTCCTGGTGACTACCTGTAATCACCTTACATCTTAACATAATGTATGCGATGTCCAGTCACTTAGACCAGTGACCATATTGCAATTTATTCGATAGGACTCGATCACCACTAACTGATTAAATGAACATAATATGAATCACTATTCAATGACTAATCGATTGGACATTAATTGTGTGCATCAATGTAATACAACTTATCAAAACTATTGGAGATCAATTCATTAGTGTTAGCGGGACATAGATTGCATTAAAGCATGCTCAATGCACGATTGGATTGGTGCCCACTGATTGGCTAATTCTTGTCCAATCAGAGCCAGTCGATACTTGGAGGACACTAGAATCTTCTCATGTAAAAACGATAAATATAGTAACGTTTTTCCTACTGTGCACATCCACGACCCAGTGCTTTCAGGTTTTTAATGGCGGTCTATCTTAGATCGACTAGTGAATTCAACTGTTAAAATACTACAATCTCTACAAATTTCCATACTGACAAAAAAGTGGAATCGATGAAAAAAAAGATAAAGAGATGGTACGAACGCTTACCAATATGTAAAGTGTTAGCTGGAAGCTCTAAACGTTCCAAATGTGCATAAATCAATGCTCTAGCTTTTACTGAATATGGTGACCCAACGATGGCTTTTTTAAAAATAGTGAAGAATGGTATCTGCATAATTAACTAGAAATAATGTGGAAATAGAAAAAAAAGAGTAAATTAATAATAACTGATTAGATATACCTGTAATTAGATAACATTCAAATAATAAATAACAACACCTTAGTTATTCAGTGTTGACTGTACTGTGTAGATCTCTGACTACTAAGCTAAACAAAATAATGTTAAACTCATAACATTATATATTATGCTGTATGTTTGAAGACGACTATCGTATTTTAGACAATACTCTACTATCTTTTTAAATAAGATAGATTGTGAGTACCAGTGAAATTTAATACGCGTGTCTCGTCTTATCTAAGAGTTATCAGGTGAATTTACCCGTAGCCAAGTACGTTTCGACAATCAACTATACAGAGACAAACAGAAAACGTTGGGCGTACGACAAATAAAGACTGATCGAAAATCCAGACCTTAATATCAGTGAAATAATTACTAATGATGACACACTACACTATATATAGGTAATGGAAAAAAACACTGAATAGTGTTTCATGAAGTAAAATTTAGTTCACCTTGAAGATTATTTTACCAGGAGTGGACATTAACCGATGAACAACAGAAAAGCAGCCATAGACTTAACGCATCGAATAGTCCTCATTTTTTACAACTTCAATCAACTAGAATTATAGATGACACTATCATTCAATGTTATCATTGATGAGTATAACTGAGTCACTCTTATGACATTAGGTGATTTAACAAACCATGGGACCTGTGAAAATTCTTGGATCCACACATAAATGGTATTTTGGGTCCACATAGGTGAAGATTCCAAAAATAGGGTACAACAGCTACTCGGTACTTCAGTGACAGACACTAGATGAACACTACCTTTAAAACATTGAATGAATTTAAGTTAACCTGGTTATAGACAATATTGCCGCATCAAACTAGTTAAATAATGATGACAATAATAAACTGCTTCATTTAATACCATATGTTTGATTAGAGCAATGAGGTCACAGTACAAAATATGCAATACTGTAGTGAATTACCTGTGAATATTTAAAAACATAGATATTAAATATTTTAAACGTCAATTTGCTGCCATCGATATGCATACGTAAACGTTTACAATCAGATATGTTCTCTTTCGGAACACCCGTCTCTATCAACTAATAATATATTTAACGTAGGAATTACTCCTTGTTCTTCCAAAGAACAGAGTAGGATGGTATATGAAATATTGTGGTGGTACTTAGTCATTAACTTCTCAATAACTTGTAAACGATATATAAAGGCAGATAAGTACATGCGCTTATCACACATAATTAGTTAAAGAAAGTGAATCTAAGATAGGAAAATTTATGAAGATAAATAAACATTTGATGTAATGATGACCCAAAAAATTTAGCCAGGTTATTAATATTTACCCAAATGAACAACTGTTCAAGTGAATTCTTTTGTGCATTACAAACACTTCAAAATGAAGTAGGGACTGATGATGATGTTGAAACCATCTATTAAACAGAGAGCACAACACACCATCAGAACGTAAATATGTTACGGCGATAACTCGTACATCTAGCAGTGTATAATGTTACTACCACTGTAAAACTTTCCTTAAATATAAATTAACTTGATAAAATTCCAATAAAAAAGGGAAACAACTAACCGGAGGTAGTTCAGTGTTATCACTTGGTCGACAAATTATTTCTTTATTATAATTTGGATTGAATTCATATGCAGTGGATAATACTTTAATAATACGTGGCATTGCCATATAAGGTGAACGCATGAATGCACCACAAAAATATCTTATTGTATCCAACAGTACATTGTTATTACTAAATTTCATCGTATTATACCACCAAACACCCTGTGAAATATAAAAGAAAAAATAAACAAACATATTATTGAAGAACAAGTATCACCATTAAAAAAAGTCAAATATAATCCACTGAACCGTTAAAAAGATTTGTTGTTGAAACTGAGCAATGTTGGTTGGTGCAGACTGCCTATCTGGTTAGGGTTTGCGTAATTATTTTAAACAGTGATGTTTGGAGGACTTAGAGTGACCAAGGCTTAGATTTAATCATAATAACATTGATATATTCATAATTTTCTTTTTTAGATATTGGGTCTCAAAACTATTTTAAACTTTATATTTCACAAACTCATTCCTTTTTCTTGAATCATACGGTCTATGCCTAATTTTCTGCACAACGACTAGTACGGTTATAACTTCTACCAATCTACCATCTCACTATATTGACATTGTGGTGTGTCAAGGGTAGGCATATCTTCCAATTCCGACATCGTGTATAGCTGACTACTGTTAATTATTTAAAAAAACAAAGCTAAAAAGACATACAAATAAAATGGATAGTTTATACAATAAAAAATTTCATTAATAGGTTTGAGTATACTGACAACAATTATAAACTATATACATATATCCAATGAGATTATTATTTTCGAATTAGTGTATAAGAACTTCAGTCTCACCTCAAGTGTGATACTCTACAAAGTTATCCAAACTGAGGTAGATGAAGCGGACCCACAACTCATTGATTGAAAGTCAAACGCCTTAAGCATTGAACCAACGCTTCAATTAGAGATGTAATAACATATATAACTATGAAATGAAATCTATAACCAGTTTATGATTGTATTTCTATAAGATAGTCTCTCTCATACTCAAGAAATGTGTCGAGCCGGGTTCAATACACTTATAGAGGATTAACTTATTAAGAACAGTATTAGTGTTGACTAGTTGTCATTACTAAACATTAGTAAACTGCGTACTAAGAACGGAAAAATAACAATTGTAGAATGATTTCGGTCGGTCATAAGGAATGTAAAGCCAAGCATATATGTGCATTGGTTCAAGGTGACACATCATATCAAACCAACAAAATGAAATTACCAGGACAAATGCACGAGGAGTAGAAGTATTAACAGCATCAATGATAGTAAAAAATATTAGATATGATTCGAGAGGACTGTAGTCAGAGAATAAAAGTCTAAGATATTTTTAAAACTGAGGATGTAATAGAAACAAAATTGTGGGTGCATCTTCGTCATTGCGACTGATGCTAACCTATGTCACTCAGAATTTCTACTTATTGTTTACGATAATAGCAAGGACTCCAACCATATATTTTCCATCTACCATTACAGTTTAGTCCAGTAGTCAGCGATTTGGTATGGTCAATACTAGTTCACTTCAAATCTAGACTAAAGAATATCGCCCATTGAGATAGGCTATGGTTGAGCAAACTTAGCACATATATCAACCATCTCAGTTGGTGAAGGTTCATTACCCCATCAACCGAGTTGCCACGTTTACCTGGTACTCTATGCCTAACCTCAGCATTGCTCCCTTGTTTGTCCCAACATATCAGTTGGCATAACATTACTTTAAATTTACGCTGGTTTTAGACCAGAGAATTTACTATTACTGAGGCTAGAAACTTATTCGCTAGTTGCAAGATTCATTTATATCATAGTCAGGATGTAATACAGTGCAGAGTTCATGGTAACGCCAGGACGAATTGAAGAGTTCTAACTAAACGAAATATGTTACCAGATGGAATGACCGATCAGATAACCAATATACTTGGTGTAATATGATATGATTATATTGCCTAAAAGATAACAAACAATGTGATATTTAAATGTGAACCATTTTAGAGAATGACATTGTAGATTATCATATAGAACGAACGCATTGAACATATAGCAATTACTGCATTCCCTTTACCGAAACTTTTGATACCCATTAGTAAGTCACCGAGGAATTTAAACACAAGTAGTAAGATTTTGTATTTTTTAGATGCTTGTAATGATCAAGACAATTTGCAACAGTACCTTCCTTGAAATAAAAAAATACCCGCAAGCAGTTACAAGAGAAATATTTTAGTGTTAAGACCAGAATATGTCACCAAATTATAAAGTTATGAAGCAAAAGATTATAATGAATAAGGAAAAGATACATTTTTAAGGCTATATTTAATAAGACAGTTAGACACTATTGACTACAGAACTTAAGAACTTATACGGAGAATTTGTAATTATTGAGAAGAAACTATTGGGTTTTGATCTTCTAGTTGATTTGAGTGATAACTAGTTGATACCTTAGTGAAGAACAAGGTTTGTCGCCTCTTAAAATATATATCTTGATGTGAAAATCAAGCAACATACAAATACTTAATCATCAAAATGTCTAACTATAAGTGGATGAAGCGTTTTAGAGATTTTATATCAATAGCAGTGAATTACTACAAAGTTGTTAAGCATTTGCTTACCCTAAAAACAATTTATACTGTAAAATCTTTTGGTGGTTGGTATTATTTACAGCTCGTGTAAGTTATTTTAGCTTCTGGACAAGCTAACTTATTCATTCTTTTCAAGCCACATTTTGACCTTGTCAATTATTCACTCATTAACCCTGACTGTTTTAGTATGATCGAATATAAGTCCCAGAGAGAGCATCAACTCTCTGAGATGCAGGTACATCCAGCTGACGGGTCCCAAATAGGACGAAACGCGCGTCCTGGATTCCACTGCTGGCCACTATCCATCATTGCTTACAAATAGCTTGTGAATTAAGGTAATATCGAGGCATACACACAGTATGCACATATGCCAATAACAGACTGATCAATTGCAGTCTTAAACCTCAATGGGAAGATACAAGCCAAACAATACCAAGTGAATATGTGCTAATTGCTTATCCTATTCATTACGTGTCTGTAATTTATTTTTGTCTGAATACGAATATTGAGTAAGGTTTGAGTAGGCTTACTCTCATTCTCCACTACGCGTCATTTCGTATTGCTCCGCTCTCTTCTTCGCTTCGTCTTCCTGGTCGTCTGTCTGGATCAACGATTATATGAAATATACGTATTCAAAATCCATTCTCATATTTGGCTTATTTAACTCCATTATTCAGTAACGCGGATTAAGTCGACAATAATATATGAGGGTAGCTGGGATGTATATTTCGATAGCAATCATTCATACGATCCAATTGGAATCAGATAAAGATCCACTAAATCTTTAATTGACTATGTGTGTCAAAGTTCAACTTTAGAAAACATAACTAAACAATTGACCGATTACTTTTGTTACCAAAGAAAAAAGAAACAAAAGACAAAAATAATAAACATACCACAGAAATTGGCAATATTATCATGAACAGTAATATATATGCTCCAATAACCTGTGTGTATAGAGGACAGAAATAAATAAAATTAAACACACACCCACAAACACAAAAAACACAACTAAATACCGATTAAAAGTTGACAAATTAAAAATAAGGTAGGTTTACCACACAGTCAAATTGGATATGTAAATAATACAAACAGTTGTAAGAAAATAATATTTTTTCTCAAAAGAAAATACTTAATTTAGATGATCAAATGTGGTGTATACCCTGACAAAATTCAAAACAAAAGATTAGATTTACAAAAAGTAGATAAGCGTTCCTTCTAATCAGTTGGAAAGTTTCCGCTTACCAAATGTTGGAAATACTAGAACCCTTAGAAATCACTTGGTAAAACGTTTTCGCACCAAAGGCACCCATTTTTACCTTCAGATTGTATTTTACACTTGAAAAAACTTTATATGTCATTGGTTCGTCCCCACTTTTAATACGCTATATTATGACGTTTTCCAAGGACATTTTTATGCTGTATATATACGCTTGAGTTGTGTGTTTGTTGCTGTTCGTGCCTCTGAATGTTGTGGAATATACCTTTGTCTCATCTGAACCAAGTCTTCTCCCTCTAGTTAGCAGAACTGGGACGCATCGGAATGGTTTAGCGTATCTTTTCGTTGTGTCGCTGATCCTTAGTTGATTCATCGACTTTGGTGATCTTGTAATTGCTTCAAACATAGCACCAGATATATATATATAATACCAAAAGTATTATTAGTCTGAGAATAAGATGAAATAGTTGGGATGTCTGCAAACAATTAGAAAATCTTTTAAAATATAAGATTAAGTTTTAAACCATAAATTTTCTGACCAATAATACTTTTTTCTTAGAAAAGAGGAGAATTGAGGATAGAAAAAGCATATGAACGAGGTTAGGATTTAATGTATCGTATGCCAACTTCTTTCTAAACATTATTTATCCTAGTGTAACTTAGATTATCATCTAACTAATTCAATAAAATTGTAAATAATCAGTTAAAATTTACAATAAACTGGTGAACTCTATAAATACCTCTCTATGCAGACTTTTACTATCAGACAAGGAAAATAAACTAATATCGTAGTAAAACAAGAATCGGTCTATTCAATCTTCTTAAATAAAACACACATATACTTAGAGGCATCATGTGAACTTTCTGTTAAGGTTGACAGCACCAACCATAACATCAAACGGTAGTCATTAACTGTTAAAATATTGTAGTGAATAAAGACTTTAGGACTCGTCAGCTAGCCATCATCCATCTTTGTTCATAATACTTGTGACTTAAGGCAACATCGAGGCAATCCACACAGGATGTACATATACCAATAAGAGACTGATCAATTGCAGTCTTAAACATCAATGGGAAGATTCGAATAAACAATACAAAATACTAAGAGATTTGTTTTTTTATTGGAATCTATATTATTTACTTCGAATTCTTGTTTTAATCTCGGAAGAGCTGACTGAAGTGTGGTAATGTACAAGAAGTAGCAGAAAATATTAATATCAGCTGGGAAAATGGTCATCAGTAATAGAAAACGATACAACATCTAGAAAGATAAGCACCAGTCAAACATGTTACACAAATTATTAATACAACAAAAGAAAAAAGTATCAGCACAAGAAAGAAACAGAAGAACAGAATAAGTATATCAAATATACTTTAAGACAAACAAATGGATTCAAAGTATGGGATAAATGCTCAGAATAAAACAAATCGACTATTAATACACATAATTAACCAAGCTACAGCAACATTTCGCTAGTAATACATTAAATCCATCTATAGATAAAATGTGAAATAGTACAATTGTGTTTAAAATTTAGTAAGAATTTTCGTTTAGTATATTCTATGAAACTAATAATCATGCAGAGCTTATACCTACCAATAAATTACTCCTTCTTAGCAACTTATTAATGAATGAAAATAAGTTTACGAACATTTTCTATTGATGAATGAGTTTAAAAACAAAAACAAGACAAAAGGATAATTTATACATGAATATAAGGCAGTTAACATACTAGATAGAAATTTTCTCTTTGAACCATCCATTTGGGCAATGCAATACCAAAATGAGCAGCTGTTAAAAGAAAAATATAGAAATTTAATTATATCGTTTATTTTTGTTATTATTTAAAAGCAGCTTAAAAGACATATAGTTTGTTCTAGGCTAGAGATGGGAAATATTGTAATAGTTGTTTTTCGCAAGTTAGAATATGCAAAATAAGTAAGCTTCATCAAATAATAGATGAGTTTTTTTTAGCTTATATTTGAATGATTATCATAACTATTAGTTAGACACTTTGGATGAGATGACTCAAAATTGTTCTCAATAGTGTATGCGTATTCAATCTTTGTTTTCCCTGGGAATCTAAGTTTTTGAACCCCTGATAACTTTTTCTTCAATAATTTACATTTTCTTGAGACCGTTCTTTCGTCGTCTTTTCTATTAATACTTCTACTAGTCTAGGGTTTCTCCTGACAATTTCATCTAGCCAAGTGCTGATAGGGTATGGCAACCTGAAACGATGCGTACATGTGCTAGGTTCTACATTGTTCAACTTTGATATAATTGGATGGACGTTTGTCAATCGCAGATAGAATAGCGATATTAATTATTATGTGGATCTAAAGAAACATTTAGCTTTTACTCAGAATACAGTTTCACAAAACGCTAAATGTATACTCTGAATAAACATCGTGTTATAGTGATATATCTTTTGACATACATATTGGTGGATAAATGAAAACAGACAGATGAGAGTATTAAATATTGTGTGTAAAGCAATAGTTTTTTTTAAAAAAAAAGATCATCATTAAGTTATTTTCAAAAAAGAAAGAATTATATACGAACTTGAATCTATCAATAGTTAAATAGCTTCACAAACAACAACAAACACATATGGAGGATGCTGTCAATACTGAATTCAATCCAGGCATGCATTAAATCGATTAAAATTTTGAAATAACTGAACATTGACCCGTGGAGCTTATTTGTGAAAAGCTTTTGACGGTGAACTAGTAAAATACAGATTTCAATCCTGGCCTAACGCATATTTTCACGACTAATTGAACAACGTAACCCAAAGCTTAATGCATAAATCTGTAGATGTTCTCTAAGCTAGATGGTTTAATTACGAAGGTTTCGTCGTCTTTCGCAATATCGTTATCATGACATACTTTAAGTAAATGTGAGGTTTACATTTAATCGATAAATATTAAACGAGTTCGTTCTGTACTTGATGAGTTATATAAGAAAAGCAATAATAACTACGAGTGACCAGAATAAACGTAAAAATAAATTTATATACGATTACTTATAATTTTGCAATAATATATTTACAAATAGTTATCTGTATTTGAGTATGAAATCTTTTTATTCTAATATACTCTCATATCCATTATTTATTTACTTAAACACATAAACATTAGTGCAAGGGGGCATCAAGTATACATGTGTCACACTTCATTCGACTTTGTGAGGTCTGGAATACTGTCCGGGTGCCCAAGCCGAAGCAGATGGTTCTCTTAGGGAACCACTACCTAAGCGTTTGACCTAGGGGTCTAATCCACAAGGTGGTGGAGCAACTCCAGGAGATGCAACCACATAGTGGCCGGAGACCAACAGTAGGTTCATATACCTTTTGTTCCTTCAGGATCCTGGAGTCCATATGGACCACTGGTTTAGAATCAGAGTTTTCTGACTCCCCTAGGTGGATCCTTTGTGTCCACTAACCCAGTTAAGGCGCTGGACATTCGCCTTTTATCCTCTCAATTTCATAAACAACACCCCGCCGCGAGAAAGCAGTGAGTAGGACGTCACTGGTGGTGGCTATGTACACGTAGCTATGTGAAAGTATTTCGAGAGGAAGAGATGACTCTCCTCACCCTCGGTCGTACCAGAGCATTAATTCAACTCATAAGAAAAACACAAACATATGTCTATTACATACATAAAGAAAAATTAGACATATTTAAACTATGCTGACACAAAACTAACGATAAACTTCTCAATCCACTGAGAAGGCACACAAGCAATTATATTGTAACGGATTAAAAACGTACACAGAACGCTTAATTTAAATAGACGAAAGCTATGAAATTTATTAATCATGCTTTGAACCAAATGAATAATTAAACAATTTAAATCCACATAACTCGGTAACACGTAAAAGATTGATTTGATTTTCCAGAGCCAAATAAATAAAGCATGATTCTAGTTCTGATGAATAAGTAGCTAAAATTACAGTCAATAAACAGCTCCACACAATTATAATCGCTTTCCTCAATTCGGTTGGTTAGTTTTATGTCACTAAGTTATAATCAAAAAGGAGCTTGGCACAAATGTGAGTTAACCGAAATCGACATACCATGTTAACACGACAGGATGAAGTTAAGCATACAAATCGAAATAATGAAGTTGCAATGACGAGAAGGAATAAAAATTAAGAACACTTCGAAAAAAAAACATATTAAGGAGATAAGTATGAAGCAACTGGATCGAAGATGTGGAGTAAGATTTTTTTGAAATGGATCGGCGCTATTGTGAGCAACTCTGAGATGTGTCAACCAGCAACTCCAATCTTCGACAGAGATTTTCGCGCGGATCTCAACCAGCTAGTCTGCATTTACCAACGGAGCCTAGACTAACAGTCAATGATTTTATAAACTAATGCCAAGCTCTCGTTTGGCAGCCCGTGATTTTCTCCCAACTAACAAAACCTACAATTGGCATCGAGGTAGGCATTGGTTAGTAACTCATAACACATATATGCAACATCTGAACTAGGATATTGAATAAAATTTAATTAAACTCACCACCAGGACCATCGGGATTACCATATTCTTCCCAATTTTTTCTTGATTCTTCATTAGTTAGGCTTCACAAGTAAGACAAAGTCATAAGTACATTTATGATTAATAAAAAATATATATAACTACTCTTTGTATGAAACAAGATGCGATAACAGTCATTTTACATATGCCATAAGAATATGTCACTTATTGCAATATGTTTATGTTAACCATTCGATGACATTTAGTTAAAAAGGGGATTAATGAATAAGTTTTAACTGTTATAAGTATAATAATGAATGAAAGTTGTCCAATATTCACACAATATAAAATTGACGCTTTAAGTTTACAAATGATAAGTTATGACAAATCATCATAAGGAGAAATTGATTGTCCATTTAAAATGCACTTACAAAGAAAGACATATGTCAAGAAATAAAAATTGTATTGAACACAAAATACACTGAAAATTAAACCTAAATTCTTTCAAACAGAAAAAAAAGGAAATAATAAAATCCTGTGTTTGTTAGACTGATATTTTTTATTTTTGAAAGCACTATACAAACTGACTTACGGAGTTATAAATGTTGATTATTTATCAAACCTACATGATGAATAATATGCTTGTATACATGTAAAGACGCTCACTAAACAACGATGTACATTATAAGATATAATAATGATCAACAGATAATTACATGCCAATCAGTAGCGCAATAGACAAACATCATCAACATATAGCCTGAGAAAGATGTTTGCTAGCCTAAGTTGTCATACCACATTAGCACGACAAGATGGAAATGACAAAAGCGCATAAAATAATGTAGTAACAATGGGAATATGTTTCGAAAATAAAAAGTGGAAAGGTAACTGCAAAAAATGCATCTGCGTCAATGTGAACGATTCCAAGTTATATGACACAGTCTTTAACCCCAACCAGGTATTCTGGAATTGCCAATGTGCGTCAGACTAACAGGCAATTGCTTCATTGACTGATGCTACACTTTGATTCGACTACCCCCAGCTTTCTTCCAACGTAATTCCAAAATATTAAGTGTTGCTCGCGTGAAGTAGGAGGTGGTTATGCATACACAGAAATATGCCCCAACCACCTCAATCGATGAAGATTTAAAACATTTACTGGTTTGTCAAATTTTCCCAGTACTGTATGCGCCAATCACTCGGTCGTTCATTTATTTGTCTGAACACAAATATTGGGACAAAGGCGGCATCAGATACATATGCGCCACAGAAGTCACTTGATTTGTGTGTGGACTGTGATAATACCCGGGTGCCCTGACCAAAGCAGGTGATCTTCTTAGGCAGGCACACCAGAAGCTTTCGACCTAAAGATCTGATCCACAAGGCAGTGGAGCAACTTCAGGAGGTGCAGTCCCATGGTAGCCAGTGACTAGTGATTGGTTCATATGTCATTTGTTATTTCACGATCCTGGAGCCCATGTGCACCATTGGTTTGGAATCAGGATTTTCCAACTCCCCTAAGTGAAGTCTACGTGTCCACTAATCCGATTAAAGCGCCGGGCATTCGCTTTTCGCCCTCTCAATTTCGTAAGCAGAACCCCGCCACGAGAAAGCAGTGAGTAGGACTTCCATGAAGCGGGAGCAATACTTCGAAGACATCTATGATCAAAAGCCAGTCCATGCACATCTACTCTCATAGACCATATTTCACAGCAAAAAACCCGGCAAAGAAAGCATCCAGCTGATTTGTGCTACAGGTACTAACGGTTTAATCATCATGAACATAGATTAAAAAGTGTCAGAACAACTCAGTAATTCGTAAAGTTGGGATATATTTCTAGATAGGAAGATTATTTTGAGTGGTATTTTGTCAATAATAAAAAGTAACACCTGATATGAAGCAATATTTGAGTCATCGGTTCAAAAATGAAACAATAATGCCTTAAATTATTTATACAGTTGTTCCATGAAAAGATCAGGTAATAATATACTGAACTTTGTTGTGGAATGCATAAACACTTCGAGAGACACTTGAATGTAGTCAGAAAAGTATATATAAGCCAAACACCTTGGCTCGTTTGGGCTTTTTAATAAAGTTGGGGTGCCATATTTGCAGTGAAATAAACCTTAATATAGAATCACTAGCTACCTTTTTTCAGATAAGTAACCTTAAATACGACCAATCAAAGTGTAGTGGGTCATCAGTGGTAGAGCAACTTGTCAGTTTAGGAAAGATGACTGGTGGAAGTAAAATCAAATTACAAGTGACCCAGAAACAATCTGGAACGACAGAACCTCCCAAACAACTTATGGTAACACACATAACAATAAACCACACAATATAAGTGTACCATTTATTGGAATAACTATGTTTTGATGAGACTAACTTTTAGCATACAACAGCTACAACCATGCAAATCACGATGTTGCTGTAACGAACTACCTATACACCATCTACAAATTACTTTCTCAAGTTTCAAAAAAGCCTACTTTTGAGACAATAGGATGCTACTTCATTTTTTGAAATAACGTAAGTGATAGGGGCGGAATTTAACAATGGCACTTTGTGGATGACGACAATACAACACACGGCAAACAAGAATGAAGACAGTTACGCTAGATTAGAGATAAGTATGGAACTGGATACCATAGGTCACTGTTGGTTAGTTGCGGGGATTTTAGAACAGTATGGACGATAATGACCTTTATGAGACTAAATAAAGATACGTCAATCACGTTTAGTACAGCTAAAATCAGAGGGAAACTAGGATACTGTGCAATGTTATGGTCTCTCCTAAACCGCGACTAAAATTCTTTGAGAATTTTAAAGGAGCGCTACTTATGAGATTCCGGAGATGTAAGGCTGAATATAGGGCAAGCAGCTTCAGAAGTGAGGTCTTTTTACACAATTTTACGGAAAATTGGTTATGATTCACCAGATAATGACAGCTTTTAATTTTGACAAATCTGCTTTCTTCCAGACAGACCATAACACAAAGCTATTAAGTTAAAAAGCCAACAACGAATCAGACCTCAATGAAGCAAGGGTTTTTTTATCGAGTGACTTACATCTGGAACCTACTACAGGGAGAAATAATATTTGTGCTTTTCCTTGGCCCATTTATGCCAAGGCTGGAGACCCGTACTTAAATGCGAACCCATATATTTTATGAGAGATCTAATACACATGCAAAATAATACAGAGAAGTCGAAAAACTTCAACAGTAATAAGCCTCTTTAAGATATTTTCCTAAGAGCAATAACAATAAAGTTCTATAATAATAAAAATGTAATATTTTCTGTTATCACACGACATATTAGAGCCAATTAGTGACATATGATCACCTAGAAAATCAAACTTACGCGTTATATGCTTTTGAGATTTGTATAAAGCGTTTGGGATCACCACCTTTATCAGGATGGTTCAGTAAGGATAGTTTTTTGTACGCACTTCGGATATCTTTGGGAGATGCATCCTATAGAATAATGCGATATCTAACACACAATTACTTTGTCTATTCCTAAAACCAAGAACGGATCGAATCCAGAGTTATCAGGCTCAATTAAAGTGAGTTTGTACACAAGTAAGAAAAATATTCCCCAGCCAGCAACAAATGCAGCCTTTCTACAAAATGAATTGTTTGAATTCTATAATAACTAACATTATGATTTTTTTGAGCCTTTTAAGCGGTGTGGAAGATTTTATATGATGCCTTTTGAGTTGGCAAGGTTGACACATGCATTTTCTTTTAGATTGCTCATATGATTCTTGACATTTTCATTATGTTTAAGAACATATTACCTTTGAACTCAAGGGATGGCCAACAGAAATAAGTGAGTGGGATTAAAACTAAGGTGTAAAATGCAGTCAGAAAGCACAGGAATGTATCTCCACTCTCATCAAACTCGAAGTGGTCACCTGGCATTTTTCGGCAAGGACAAATACCAAACCACCCGCGCTAGTTTCTCAATAGCTTAAAGTAGCCGGGATGATAGGTCGATTGCCTTGTGTTAGTCTTTGAAATAAGAGTTTCAGTAAAGTTCATTTTGTCAGGACGGATTTCTAAAGAGGGGTTTACATTATTGAATGTATAGGGTTATCCATTACCCAATATCTTTGTGGCAAGCTTAAACAAATCAATTGGTCTATTTGTGCTGGCTTCTTGTTGCTTCGGTACGGCTTCAGGTACTTGTAATACCCAGTAAATAATAGCCTAACCACCCGAATGCAATAATTATACACAGTTCGGTAGTTGTGTTTGGGTTTGTGTGTCTTATAGCCTGAGTGAGTATGTTTATCTCAAAGCAGTAGATTATCTCGATGCCAGAAGCAAACACCTTTCCGGTTAGAACGTAAGTTGTTTGCAGTGTGAAAATGATAAAGTAGTGATTCGGATGTCAAGAAAAGGCGATCTTTTTTGAAAACCAAATAAACAAATCAGTAAGTTCAGTAAAGGGAAATGGGGATGAAGACTAGCGAGATAGTTATACGTTAACGATATGTGATAATGATGACATGATATGTTATAGAACATGCATCGTGCATACCCTGTCAATACGGTGGGTGGTTTTACACGAATAATTACGAGTTTGTCAAGTCTCTACTCCACAGAGCTAATTTATCTAGCAGATAGTAACAAGTATTAAAAACAGAAGTGGACACTAAGATTGACCCTTACTAAACCCGGTACGAATTGTCGAGTCCTCTGGGTAGTTTCGGAGCCAGGATAGAAGTGTGATATTGAAATCAGTCTGCGACCTTTGCATTGACAAATGAGGCACTGTTTAAAAAGCTGTTGGAAAATCTGTTGATTGTATCCCCCTTCGATTTGATTCTTGGTCCCATATTTGTTCATAGTTTTTCTGATTACTTGATAAATTGGATCGATTTCAATGTGCTCTTTGATAGCTGATCGACCTGAGTATCACGCTTCTAAAAATTCCCTGGTGTTTTTAGTATTCCCCCTAACGAAGACCTCTACATTTTCTTAGTCGAATGTGTATCCACATTTGACCACATGCATTGATATAGGCGAGGGTATGTCATGTCGTTTGACTGCCAATCGATGTTTATGAAAGTCGATGAAGAGGAGGTCCACTCTGTCCGACATAGTGTTTTAGTAGTTGGAACAATCCATTTTATGGATGATTCTCGGTTTTTTCCTCCGTTTTCATTTCGTCCTTTGGTTTACATAGGTTTGGTCAAAGTGATTTTGTTGTTATGTGTGTCACACTTATTCCAAAAGTCTTCAACAATCTCATTGTAATTTCTGACATGCCTTTTATATGTAGCAGGATGAACCGTTGGTTGGTTTCTACGCTTGATTTTGTTACTGCTGATGCGTTTAATTTATATTTTTTGATTAAATTGTTTGGGTAGCCGTTCGTTTGAAAGATAATTTTCAGATGTTTTTCTTCATTTGTCCGCGCTGCAAGTGTTTTGCAGTGTGTTTTTGCCCTCTCGAATAAAGTTTAATTTTGAGAGTTCTCGGTTTGTTGTTACTGCAATTAAGAATTTGATCTATGTGGGTTGGCTTCCGATGAACTTGAGTCTCCAGTTTTCCTATACCAGTTCTGGTGATCAATACATCCAAGAATGATAGCTTGTCGTTTGATTCCTGTTCTATTGTCAACATTATGTCATCGAAGATGTTATTGATCAGATTGTTAGTGTTTTCCTGCTTGTTCTTTTTGACGATGACGAATATGCTGTCCACAAGGCGAATCCAAATTTTTGGTCTGATCGGTGATAAGATCGAGGCTTCTAGTCAGCGCGTCACTGCTTCTGCAATAAATCCTGATATTGTTGATCCAATTTCCGTTCCTTTCATTTGTTCGTAGATTTTGTTGTTGAATTGAAAATATGTTGTTGAGCACAAATCGATGAGTACTGGTTAACTTTGGAGCTTCGTGTACTTTAGGAGATTTGTGTCCTTGGTGAGAAGAAAGAATACAGTTTCTTTTATTAGGCTTGGTTCAATTAAATTGAATAAGGCTGCTGTATCGAATGATATCATCAGTTAGTTGTTGCTAAATTGAATTTCCTTAATTTTACCTAGGAATTGTACCGGAGATTTGATGGAATTATTAGATGAATCCACTAAATCTCTCAATATACGGGAAATTTATCTCAACAAATTGTACATTGATGTTCCGGGGTGTTCTACAATTGGAAGTACTGGGGTGTTTGGTCTGTGTATTTTTAGCCTACCACAGAATCGAGGGAGTACGGGTCCAGTGTGTTTCATTCTCCACTGATCTTTCTTTAATGTTTGTTCTGCTTTGACGAGCCTTTTTAAAGTCCTTGGGATATTTCGTTTAACCTGACTGGATTTTTGTTCATTGGTTTGTATACGCTTTTATCCTCAGCTGGTTTCACATGTATGTTTTTTATTCACCGATACTATGGCAATATCTTCTCTAGTTCCGGGTTTCTTTAAGTTGTTTTTCTTGTCAAGTCAATTGACTTTATGGTTTATCATATGTCCTACTGAGTTTCTTCACTTATCCCCGTAGGTATTAGTGATACTTTTCGTGGGGCGAGGAATTTTCGTTTTCGTGAGTCACTAAAAGTCACCAGTCAAATAGCTACGGAAATGAGCAGATACAACTTGGCGGTGCTCAGAACCATTGAAACGCATTGGATCCAAGCTGGACAGAACGGGTGAGATTCAATATTGATGCTGCTGTACTCTGTTCACAGAGAAAGATATGCTCCGCACACTCGGTAAGTTGTTCTGATACTGATACTCCATCCAGTAACAAATGACCTTGCTAACTTGAGTAATCAAACTCTACCCTCCGAGTTAATGGAAGAATTATGACGCCTCATGATGATAGCTGAGATTCTTTGGACGTCACAAAACCAAAGCCCCTTTTAACAACCAGGGCAACAATCAATATAGGTACACTGAATGTTCGGTCGATGTAGGAGACCGGAGAAACGAGTCAAATAGCCACAGAAATGGAGTGATACAACGTGATAGTGCTCGGAATCAGCAAGACACATTAAAAAACCAAGCTGGACAGTGAAGGTTAGATACGGGAGAGATGCTTCTGAGCTCTGTTCATCAAAAAGATCATGCTCCACACACTCAGAAATTTACTATATTGCTGTTAATGAAGCACGAAATGCGCTTATGAGATTGGAATCTCATGGAACCCGGATAGTCAATGCATCATTCAAAATAAAGTAGGATGGAATCACAGTGTATCTCATCCATCGTTCTACACCCATCAATGATAACAACAACGACGACAATGATCAGTTTTACGAGAGGCTGCAATCGATCGTAGAGAAATACTCAGGAAAAGGACTAACCACCTTGATGGAAGATCTAAACGGAAAAGTCGGAATGGATAATGACGGTTAAGAAGATATCATGGGAAGGCATGAACTAGGAGAGGGAAAGGAAAATGTGGAGTTATTTACAAACTTATGTGCATTCAACAACTTGGTTATCGTCGGAACAATATTCCCACACAAACGCATACATAAATTTACATGGGTCTCACCGGATCACATGATGGAGAACCAGGTCGATCACATTTTCGCTTCAGTAAAAAATCACAATGTCAGTGGAAAACGTGAGAACCAATAGAAGAGTTGGCATAGGTCCAAATCACCACCTGGTTATGGCCAGTAGGAAGCAGTGGACAACTAGGTAAATAGCATGAAATGTGTTCAATACAGCCTTCTTTCCAGATACTGAAAAACTCAATGAATTGGAGATAACTCTGAACAACAGGTTACAAGCCTTTCAAGATCTACTCAACGAAATGGAACTTATGTTAAGGAATGGACACATAGGTGCATTAAACTTGGAAACTGTGTAATTCAGAAGAACAAGAGGAGATATGTTGATCCAATTCATTCACACTCACAACATGTAACCTAAATATCCGCGGAATAGTAAAAGCGCTGAGAGTGTAGGCGATATATTTCACGTCCGAACTACAAAAATGATTTGGCTTTATCTGAGAACCCAGAAAATTATACATGTAAATACATACTAACTTTCTAACTGCAATTTTTTAAACTACGAAATTGTTCATATTAGACATAGCAATACGATAATATGACCGCATTAGTTTTGATGGACAAATCTAGCTGGAGGCTCTTGGTCACGCATCAGCACCAGACCACTAGTGGGTATACCATGCTAAGCATCCCTTGCAGCTTAGACCAAACGCTTCTCGATATATTGATAGCCTTCCAAATATATACTTGAATCTCTTCATTTCTGACCTCTTACTTGACTGGGTTGGTACACTTCGCTTACATAGGTGTTATGTGTAAAGGCATTGTCATTTTTACACTTTACATTTGTTATTTATCATCAACTCACATTTTTAGGTATAATGATATAATGACTGTATTTCTATATCGCCAATATCTCTCTGATACAGCCAAGATGGGGAATCCAGGTTCCTAAGGGTTGTATTTTTCTTTGAAAGCTTGAGGTTTGAAGGGAAACGGCGGCAGCTAAACTTGGTGGTACTGTGCGAGGACATCTGGTAACATACGCTTCATTAATGAAAGTATGTTCGGTAGATGTCTGTAATAAATGTTTACCGGTTGTTTATCTGTCGTGCTATTCTCATTGTCTTGTTGAACTTCGTAGTAGTCTGGCTTTATACTATTTATAGAGATTGTCTCCTTCCCACACTTGTTGATGATGAATCGTTTGTTTTTTCGTTTAATTACTTGGTACGGTCATTCCTAAGATTGCTTCAATGGCTTTTTAACGCCATCGATCCGAAAAAAGACAATTTTACACTTCAAGGCGTTTGTCAAGTTGTATGCGATTGTTATATTCGCGCGGCGGTATTGCTTTGATATTTTGCATCGTTTGCAGTAGACGGATCACAAGACGATTTCGATCAGGTGGTATTTTTGTGTCTGGGTCTACTAGTTGATCTGTTAATGTAAGAGTTCTACCGTAAACTACTTCGGGGGATGTGCAACCTATATTTTCTTTGAGAATTGAACGGATTCCCAGCATTACGAGTGGTAATGCATCACTCCATTTTGATTTATCAGTTTGTGCAAACAGAGAGCTTTCCAAATGGCGGTGCATTCTTTTCACCAGATCATTATCTACCGGATGGTATTTTGTTGTTTTGATGTACTTCAATCCCAGAAGTTTGATAAAATCCTGGAATAGGATGGATTGAAACTGGGGACCACGGTATGTAGTAACGATTGCGAGTACTCCGTAATTTGATATCCACCGATCAAGGAACACGGCTTCAACTGTCTCTGCGGATGTATCTGTGATAGGGCATGCTGTCGCTCATCTTGTAAACCTGTCCACTGCGGTAAGAGTATGCGTGAAAGAGTTTGATGGTGGCAGGGGACCAACTATGTCTAGATGAATATGTTGAAAGCGTTTATCAGGCAATGGAAACTTCCCAAGACGACTAACTGTGTGTCTTTGAACTTTGCTGCGTTGGCATTGTAAACAATTTCTGGTCCATTGCTTTATATTTGCGTTCATTTTTGGCCAAACAAATCTTTCCGCGATCAGTCTCACAGTTACCTTAGCCAAAAGACCTGTTGCTAAAAGTGGAAAATATACTTTAACAGCGGCTAATAAAACTGAAGTAAAGACATTTGGTGAACAACTCCTGACATTAGATTTGGGAATAAGACGTTGTTTAAACTGGGTGTTTATTATCGGTGATGTCCGTCACCCTATATTGGGTGCAGACTTCCTAAACTCCTACAACCTACTAGTTGATGTTAAAAAAAACTTGTCGTTTCTTGCACAAAACTTCAAGTTCCTGGAATTCAGTCGGACCGTCATATACATAGTATTAAAATAGACACTCCAGCGAACGATATATTCGCCTATATTTTATCTAAATTTCCCAAGATAACGAAACCGGACTATGGTGAAAACACCATCCAACATTCCATAGTACATCGAATAATCACAAAATGCCAACCAGTTTCGGCATGTCCACACCGATTACCACCGGACAAGCTTACTGTTGTAGAAGCTGAATTTGAGCACATGATACAACTTGGGATAATACGTCCGTCAAGTAGGCCCTGGGCATCCCCACTCCACATGGTACGTAAGCGAGATCAGGGTTGGCGACCCTGTGGTGATTATCGGTCATTGAATAACTTGACGTTACCTGATTGTTACCCCATTCGCTTACCGTACACGGCAAACAATTTTTTTCTAAAATCGGTCTTGTGAGAGCGTACCATCAGATTCCAATAGCATCCGAGTATATAGTAAAAACAGCCATTATTAATCCATTTGGTTTGTTTGAATTTCTGAGAATGTCATTTGGATTAAAGAATGCTGCACAGACTTTTCAACGATTTATGGATGGTCACTAAAGTTCTAAATTTTGTTTTCGTGTATATTGACGAAATATTAATAGCTAGCAGTTTGTTTCACGACTTCGGTTGCTTGGATATGTTCTACGAATGTCGTCCCAGAGAATTCCACGTCGTGCACTATTTGCCGACGCTGGGACTGGTTGAAAAAGCGGAGATGTGGTCAGTGTATGACATGGTGTCGTGTTATGAAAGAAAGCTACAAAGGGCTGGCTTCTGTTTGTCCTTCTCGGCTCCCTGGCTGGGTTCCGAGAGATGGTGCAACACAGTGGCCAGAGACGTTATCAGATATGGCTCAGAATAGAAGCCAGTGGCGATCCTGCTTCTTTTACTTTCTTCATAAAATGTAGTTGTACCTTCCTTAACTGAAAGAATTCTTCTTGTTGTACCCTTCAGTTTCCCCCACTCAGTCAGTCAGTCAGTCAGCTACAACGTAGGACCAGGCACATATGTGCATCGGTCCAGGTTGCCATACCTCATTAGCACAACAAGATGAACACCGGATTCATAGGAGTGGTTAGGTCAAAGGTTGCAATAAGGATATAGTATAGGAAGGAAGAATTAGTTCGTATGAAGTGATTTTAATCTCTTAGTTTAAGGGAAGACAAAGAGTGTATACACCGACGCCATTGTGATCGATTCTGAGCCATGTCACCAAGAGTCTCCAACCATTGGTTACGATAGTCACGCGGACCCCAACCAAGTAGTCTGCATCTACCAACATGGCTAAGACTAGAAGTTAGTGACTTCAAGCACTGATGCCACGTTTTGGTTTGGCCGCCCCTAACTTTCTTCCAACCATCCCCTACACCGGTTAGCATTGCACGTCGTGGTAATCGGTGTTCAGGCATACGTAATACGTGGCCCAACCATCTCAGTCGATGAAGATTCATAACCTCATCAACTGATTTACCATCATTCCCTAATACCCTGCGTCTAACCTCACTATTACTTACCCGGTGATCCCAGCAGATGCCAGCAATATTTCTAAGGCATCTGTGGTCAAATACTTGTAGCTTACGGGTGTCTTCTACTCTTAAAGGCCATGTTTCGCTGCCGTAAAGTAAGACAGAACGGACTGCCGCGCAGTATACTCGTCCTTTTATTGATAGACGGATATCTCGCCTTCGCCATAGGTGGCGCAAGTTGGCAAAAGCCAATCGAGCTTTTCGAATCCGTGCTGAGATTTCGTCAGACACCAACCCATTAGGGCTGATCAGACTTCCAAGATAAGTGAAGTTGTCAACGCGTTCGACTACTTCACTCCCTATCCTTAGTTCAGGTGTTGACGCAGACCAGTCCTGAAGCAACAACTTGCATTTAGAGGGAGAGAAGCGCATCCCAAACATTCTGGCATTGTTGCTCAGTGCTACCAGAAGACTCTGCATTTTGTCAGCGTCTTCACCAAACAGGACTATATCATCTGCGTATTCTAAGTCGATAAGTGGACCTCCTGGAAGGAGATCAATACCCGAGAATTCAGTCGACGAGAGTGTTATTTCCATCAATAGGTCTATGATGAAGTTAAACAAAAATGGAGAAAGTGGACAGCCTTGACGGACACCACTTGAAGTTGCAAAAGTAGATGACAGTTCGCCATAAGCTCTGACTCGACTAGTAGTGTTCGAGTAAAGAGCCTTCACAAGGTTTATGTACTTCTGAGGTACGCCTTTCAATGACAGACACTGCCACAGAGTCTCGCGGTCTACAGAGTCAAACGCTGCTTTTAAGTCAAGAAAGACCACCATCGTCGGACGCCGATAGGTATGCCTGTGTTCTAGAACCTGACGAATGGTGAATATGTGGTCGATGCAGCCACGACCAGGTCTAAAGCCAGCTTGGTTCTCTCGAGTTTGTAGTTCACGAGTCTTAGTTAGGCGTCCGATAATTATCGAGGCTAGTATTTTAGATACTATGTTTGTTAAACTAATCCCTCTGTGGTTGTCACAGGATGATTTTAACCCTTTCTTATATATTGGGACGATAAGTGATTGCGACCAGTCAGATGGGATAAAGTCTAATTCCCAGATCTTAGCTAAAATATTAGTCAACCTAATCGCTAAAATTGGACCACCATCCTTAAAGACCTCTGGAGCCAATCCATCTGGACCAGCTGCCCTTCCTCGTTTCAGATTAACTATAGCCTTTTGAACTTCAGCAAGAGTTGGGGGACCTACTTCAATGTTCCATTCACATTGTCTGGGAATGGAGGGTAGTTGTAGAGTAGCTGAAGGCCAGCTGAACTGTTCTCTAAAATGTTCTGCCCATCGTTCTAAACGTCTGGACTGGGAGCAGATGAGAGTATCATCTTTTTCCGAAATAATCTCACTTACACTTGACTTATTAATTCCAGTTTCTTTTATTAGTCTGTAAAGCTGTCTTGTGTTCCCTATAGTCGCCGCCTTTTCCATCTCTTTTGCTTTCGTTACCCACCACTGCTCACGGTCGTTCCTTAGACTTTTTCTTAACCTAGATCTGATTTGTTTTCGCTCTTCATCATGTTCAGAACCTGATGGGATGAGTTTGCGAGAATCCATCAGTGTGACAGACCTTGAAGAAATCCACTGGTTCCTTGCAACTCTGTGGTTTAAGTCACTAATAGATGTCACTGCTGTTTCCACAGCTGATTGTATGCCCTTCCAAGCAACATCTGGGTCAGCCTCGTCTTCACAACTACCTAATCGTGACCTCAGTTGTTCCTGGAACCTACTTTTGGTTTCCTCGCTACTCAGTTCGGTCCTAATGGGCCTTTTTACTGTGGCTTTTTTGCGTCCAGTGAGGCGCAAGCAGATGCGTGCCCGTATTAGGGCGTGGTCGGAGTCCAAGCAGGTACTCCAGAATGAGCGACAATCTTCTACCGACCCTCTCCAACGATGACTGATGGCAATATGGTCTATTTGAGTCCATCGTTGGTTTGGTGCAGGCGGTCGCCACGTTAGACGATGTCTCTCCTTATGCTTAAAATTTGTGTTTGCTAAAAATAAGCGATTGTCTGAACACAGTTGCAGCAGACGGTCACCATTATCTGTTCGCTGTGCCGGAATGCTAAAATATCCACCTAAATGCCTTTCTGTTTGGTTTAAGCTTCCTATCTGAGCATTAAAATCACCTGCTACGAGTACTATGTCTGAGCGTTTAGCTTTCTGAAGAAGTTCGGACAGCTTTCTGTAAAATTCGTCTTTCACTTCATCTGAGCTGCAGTCGGTGGGAGAGTAGACAGAAACGACAAAAAGGCAACGACGTGTGTCCCTATCCTTCCGAGTTCTTACGTAGCCGTTCAGCCGAACAGCACATAGACGACTGTTGACGGGGATCCACTCTAGCAGTGCTTGTTCGGCCCTCATGCTTAGTGCTATGCCTACACCTGCCAGTCCACGAGAACTGGCCATCGGGTCACCAGATACACGAAGGGTGTATCTCGTTGGCTCTCCGTTTTGCCGAGGTGAGGTCAAGTGAATGACCACACTGGGATCCTGTATGCGTGTTTCGGAGACACAGCATACATCAATGGAAAGAGACTCTAGGGTTTTAGCCAAGGAAGCCTGCTGACCGATTTGACATAGAGTGCGTACGTTGAAAGCTCCAATGTGTAGTTTGGAGCGAGGTTTCAGTAGACCTGGGACAGAGTTTTGAGCACTAGAATCGTTGGCTATGGTGATACTTGAGGAGGAAGCCGAAGGAGGAAGTTTAGAGTTGAAAGTCGATGTAGGAGGAATAATAGGAATTGAAGAGGAAGGTTGATTATGAATACAGTGGTCTTGGGTGCTGTTAGAGGTATGAGGGCGGTTATCACTTCCCGGTTGCCCACACCGTGGAAGGGTTCTTCTGGAGGTACCTGAAAAGGAAATTGGATTAGAGGTGGTCTCAGTGACCTGAGAGCGTGACCGCAGTGCCCAAGGGACAACTGCTTGAGGCCGGTCGCGCACGGCCTTTTCGTGGAAGGTTTTCGACGTGTTAGCTCCGTTCTTCAAAGGGCCTTACCGCCGGAGACGGAAATCCGTGAGGTAAGGTGAGGTGTGCATTTTTAGGGTCGACCTTTTCTAACCCCACCCCTCCTTGTGGGAAGGCAGCATCGCTGTCATGCTGGTTGTCTGAAGGAAACACCTTACTGCTGTCACACCTCTGTACAGTCAGCAGTACGACTTCGCCTTCGGACCTTGGGTTTGTTGCTTTTAGTCTTACCGCTCTTCAACCGACCTGTCTGACATGGTAGGACCTTGAGGAACGGTTGTTCCAGCCAGTATAGCTCGGTTGCTTCATCACGATAGGCAAGCCCGACCACCACGTCAAGGTAGCAACAACGGTCGGGTTTCCCCCACTATTATTATTATTATTATTAATATAACACTACCACACACTAATCTGTGGTCGTTATTGTTCTTTTTTTCTTATACGCACCTTACATTCTTTTTCTCTTCCCATACTCATTGTTTTTTGTGGCGCATATATATCTGGTGCCCCCTTGTACCAATATCTATGTGTTCATATAAATGAATAAATAATATCAACTATTCGAAAGATTTCAGAGATATGGTATAGTCATTAATCCATCCAAATGCATTTTTGTAGTTGAGGGTTAAGAGTTCATAGGTCACTCGATTGACAAACGTGGAATCAAACCGTTAGACACAAAAATTGCAACCATCAAAAGTTTCCCAGAACCAGATTCATGGAATAAACTCCGACGTTTCTTGGGAATGATTAATTTTCATCATCGGTTTATTCCACACTGCTCAGCCATTCTACAACCTTTAACGGAAATGTTAAAAGGCAGTCAAAAAGTTCACATTATCCTCCGAAGCGAAAGATGCCTTCCCTGCAGCTAAAACAGGAATTGCTTCTGCTACTAAGCTGACCTACCTAAGTCCTGACCCGGAAGCAACACTAATTCTGTGTACAGACGGATCCCAGGCAGCAGTAGGGCGGTACTACAACAGCGAGTAAATAATGGAGTCAAACTACTTGCTTTCTTTCCAAAGAAGCTAAAACCAACTCAAACTCGATATAGTATTTTTGGTAGAGAATTATTGGCCATTTATCTAGTTGTTAAAAATTTTAAACACTTACTGTAAGGTAGAGATTTCGTGATACTCATTGATCACAAACCTTAAACTTACGCCTTTAACGCTAAAATCGATCGTAATTCACCTAGAGACATTCGGCAACTAGATTATATTTCCCAATTTTCGACCAATACACAGTTTATAAAAGGTAACTCAAATGTTGTTGCAGATACAATACCATGTTTCAACGTCGATGCAATTTGCTTCACCAACGGAATCGATTTATTAGACATTGCACGTTTACAGACGGATGATTCTGATCTTGCTGCCTGTAAGCAAAGTCCGAGTCTGGTGTTAAAGTGTCCCAATACCACATTCTGACTCAACTATATTTTGTGGTACTTCGACTGGAACACACGGAACATTTCTGTCAATAGTGTACAGAAAAACAGGTTTTGATTATCTCCACTCATCACCTCATCCAGGAATCCGTGCTACTGTGAGACTGAACGCGGAAAGATTTGTTTGGCCAAAAATGAACGCAAATATAAAGCAATGGACCAGAAATTGTTTACAATGCCAACGCAGCAAAGTTCAAAGACACACAGTTAGTCGTCTTGGGAAGTTTCCATTGCCTGATAAACGCTTTCAACATATTCATCTAGACATAGTTGGTCCCCTGCCACCATCAAACTCTTTCACGCATACTCTTACCGCAGTGGACAGGTTTACAAGATGAGCGACAGCATGCCCTATCACAGATACATCCGCAGAGACAGTTGAAGCCGTGTTCCTTGATCGGTGGATATCAAATTACGGAGTACTCGCAATCGTTACTACATACCGTGGTCCCCAGTTTCAATCCATCCTATTCCAGGGTTTTACCAAGCCTGGCACTTGAACCGGGTTGGTTGACACGAAGGATTCAACTAGTTGTGTTCGTAAACCCTGTTTCCAAACAAATGGCGTATGAACTAACCATTGGTCACTGGCTATCATGGGGCTGCGTCTCTTGAAGTTGCTCTACTGCCTTGTGGATCAAATCTTTAGGTCAAAGGCTTCTGGTGTGACCCCTTAAGGTCGCCTGCTTCGGTTTGGTTACCCTAACAGTCCCACAGTCCACACACAAATGAAGTGATCTTTGTGGCGCATATGTATTTTATTTCTCTGTGTACTGGCATTTGTGTTCAATTAGATAAATGCCTGTTTTTTCACGAAATTCCAAACATCCTCGTGATCGAATTGCACACCAATTACTCACTAGGCAAGAAGTGGGTTAAAACCTACCTTTATTTAGTTATTAAAGTTCTCATTATTTGCAAGAATGACAAAATTGAGATATTCAATGAAGTTTCTACTTTTAAAATGAGAATGGGAAAATAGAAAGCAAGTAGGATCGATGCGTATATATATTGGCGCTCTCTTGTACCAATATTCATGTGTCCAAATAAATAAATAAGGATCGATGCGTATGTAACCATGTGGCATGATTTGTATATCTGTAGAATTAACCAAAAAGCCTTCAATAGTTAAATCACAGTATTCATCAGTAAGAGTACAAAGCAATCTGCTCTACCCGATATCCTAATCCCAACTCAAGTTTAACACACCTAACGAGTGGTCAAACAAACATGTATGTGAAGCAAGTGTACTTGTGAGGTCGAATAGTATGTTAGACATAAGGCCAACTTCCAGATCCATGTTTGTTCTGTTTTCTAACCGATTTTCTATTTTCAGGTTTTGTCGGATACATGGAGTTATTATACCATGAGGACATCCCTATCGATCTAATAACAGAGCAACTTATTGGATGTAAATGTGAAAATATCTGCCGCCTAGAAGACAATTGTACTTGTTTATCGAAATCTGGAATGTCATATGATATGAATGGTTTACTGACTAATTTTATGAATCCAATTTTTGAATGCAACAGTGAATGTGTTTGTAGTCAATCATGCACTAATCGAGTCGTCCAAAGATATTTAAACGATGCTGAGTTTACATTTGAGTCTGAGTACCATACGAAAACTTATGTAACTAATCATCCGGTTATGGGTAGAGGTTTAAAAGCAGCTTGTGAAATCCAACGCGGGGAACTCGTTTGTGTTTATTTGGGTGAAGTAATTCCATATAAAGAAGCTTGCCTAAGAGAAGCCCTTCAACTTTCATGTTATGGTCGCAATTTTATCATGATAATGCGTGAGTATAGTGACCATCATCTAGTGTCAGAGACGTGTGTTGACGGGAATTCCGAATCGTGGGGTTCAGTGAAGTCTAAAGCACGCCTAATTAACCATTCTTGTACACCTAATCTAACAGTAGTTCCTGTTCGAGTTGATAGTTTCATTCCCTATTTAGCATTATTTGCTAACAAAGTTATCTTTGAAGGGACACAACTGTCATATGATTATGCTCAGTCTGTGCCCAGCGACAAAATACGATTATCCAACACGCTTTGTTTATGCAGCTCGGACTCCTGTCGAGTATACATGCCTGGAGTATAAGTATAGTTCATTTAGAAGAAATCAAAGTGTCTCAAATCAGTTCAAAAGCATGCAGTTGTCAAAAATATCTTGGTGGTTATTGAATATATTGTTAGTACGTGGATATTTATGCATAAAGTCATCGTTCGCTTGGTACGTTGTTTGTACATTTTTTGTACGGCTATGAGTGCTTATTTGTTAATTTTTAATGTCTTAAATCAACTGAGTACTATCACTGCGAGGTTAATGTCTACTTAATTTTTGCCAGTATAACCCGTTTACCAAATTCAGGGATTTTATTCCGGCTTCAAGTCACTTTCTGCGTAAGGGTTAATGGTACCAGTAAGCCGTCCAAACCTAAGTGTAGCGGGATTCAAAACAGAAGAAGCTGGTTGGAGGCTACTACGCGATGTTTAAGTTTTCAGAATTGTTCACAACCTAATATGTATACATTGCTGATAAGTTTGAAGGTAGGGAAATCAAGTCAAATTTAATAGGTTGCTATCAAACAATAGTAGCGATTCGCGTCCTGATGATACATGGTATCTTGTTAAAAGACAACTACTGGTGCGGTAACTGTCAATAGTAAGGAAGCAGAAATAGTCTGTAATTTAGCTTACTCCCCAACTATTTAGGCTTTTTCAAGATCAACTATCAAGTCGCTCTTATTGAAACTGTATTGTCATTACTGTTATAATTAAACAACAATTCATCGCAGTAATTGGTAGAACATTTGGTGGCAACGTGATTAGTCTATTACTGTACTTCAGTTGTATACAGTTTGGACATTTTATACAAAGCACTGTAATGTATTTTGTTAAATGAATTTAGTAACGGCTTGATAAAAATTTACTTTCATCTTCCATCGTCAGTTGTTTGAGTTGGAATTAGTCCACAAGGTAACCATGAACGTACATTTAATGGTTGTTAACACTCATATCAACAATGAACTTGTCATATTTGGGTAAAAATATTCTGTTTTAGATTTGAAATTCTGTTGCTTACCGTCATACATAAAAATTCCCATCAGTGACTTCATTATATTTCAAAGTTTCTCATCAGCCACATATGGTATTCTATAGGACGATTTTATTTTTAATCTTATTCTCGATTTAAATTTACCCAAAGGTCAGAATGTATGGAATGTCAGTGTGTTGGATAGTGCAATTTTATGAGTCTTAGTTACATGAACCTGACTGTAGCTTCTACGTTGACATGGTGGTCGGACTTGTCTATCGTGTTGACTGTAACACATATTGCTTTAGTTCTTAACATGACAAACAGGTCGGTCTAAGAACATCACTGTAAGTAGAAAATAAAGTTTCAAATACGGAATCCTACTGCTGTGTATACTAAGGCGCGACAGTAGCAAGGTGTTTCCCTCAAACAATCGGCGATAGTACTTCTTGACAACGGAAGGAAAGGGTTAGAAGTGATCAACCCTGAAAACCTACGCTTCATCTTGCTGATGGCTTTCAGCTGCCAGTGGTAAGACCTTTAGGATACAGGGCTAGTGCATCAAGAACTCGGTAAAAAGCTACGTGGAGTTGGCCTTGAGCAATTGTATCTTGGACACCACGGATACGCCATCACGTCATGACCAATCCTTATCTAGTTCCTTTGTTAGGACCCTCGAAAAAAAGTTTCACTAGAATTTTTGTATTGGTCTTCTAATTTAACATTATAATTAATTTCTTCGATTTTACGATCATAATATTGTATCAACTATTTTGTTTCGTTTTTTTCTTATTTTAGATTATACGAATTAGCTTTGATCATCGGACTTGCAGAATAATACTTTTGTTATTCAAGGCTACCTGTTCACAAAATCATGATATTAATATAGATGGATCGTGTGTTTTTCTTGTTAGGATTGGATAAAACTCGATATAATACTGTAATTCAATGGTATTTGTACAGAATAACATTCTTTTGTACTAATTCAGTATGATATTCTTTCAGTATGATACTTAGCATTCTTTTGCATTAGTTTACTGTAACATTTGCAAAGCTTGTCTGTTTGCATAATTCCACTTTTTATTCCTACTATTTCAATATTGGTTTTTGTTGATGATTTGTCAAATGTCAGTAAAATATGTTGATAAATGTATATATTTGGTTAGTCAGGGATTCTTTTAAACAAAATACTCATTTGTTATAATTCAATCTTTATCTCCTTTCTCGTATTGTTAACACATCTTAGTGTTTCTCCTTGTCTCAAGTACCAGTTTTCTGCGGTTGTATCAACTAGCAACGGTGATGGGATTTGAACCTACAAGGGGAAAACCCCAACAGATTATTAACACTCCTTGAAAAAAACGTCTCAATGGTTTGTGGCTCTTGGTGATAATTATTTGTTTATTTTTGCTTTGTGTAAGATATTTTCGTCTAATCCAATGAACATGATAATTACTTGTCTCATAATAATAATAATAAGTGAATATAATTAGATTAGGTAGCTAGGTCAGCATCAAAAACCCAGAGTCTTTAATTAAATTGATAATTTCAAATATTCGTAGTTATGCTTACACTACCAATAAAAAAGTAAATTTATTCTTCACTACTGTGTTTAGAAATGTGCTAGTTGAAAAAAAACAGTGCACACTGAATAGTAATGGCAATGCATGTTTGTTTTCACTATATGCGATGTTTATTTACTAAAAAAGTTATCTGTGGCTTCTTAATCTTTAGCCTGTCAATTTGTTTCTACTTAGATATCATGCAAAATTAGCGCATTCGAACACTCAATTATCTGGTCACTGAGTAGTGACCAATGTCATGTTTGTTTAGTCTTTTAGTGATAATTAGATCCTAGTGATCAAGTTTGAAACGTAATATGAAAACTTGTTTAAAATTATATTCATCTCATGAATCGGCGTGACAGATCAACGCAAGCCCTTATGTGAACTGAAACAAAGAACACTTATGGGGCCCTTGGATGTGTCATTATATGCTTGCCTCTTATATTGTACCTATTGTTCCAGATACATTTTTTATCTGGATTTTGAGCACAACCGTCGCACAATAGTGTTAGCTGAAGTATTATATGGTAAACTAAATGTGAGATGTATATCATCATGAGTTGGAGTGGGAGTAGAGGTTACCAAGTGGTGGTTACAAGTTGCACCGTGACCGCTAGTCTCACTGACTCGATGTACGATTAGCGGTCAGTCAACTGTAAAAATATCAGTCCTGCAGGGGGTCGGTTAGCTGAACAATAGATAATTAGACTGGTAAGCCGAGTGATGTATATTCAAACCACATAGGAAGCATCTGTCTCCAAGATTCCAGGTATAACTTGATGATGAAGGTTAGCCAATATGAAATCTAAGTTCAAAATTTATTGCCAACTACGTTTAGCGATGACTCCGCCTGTAGCTCTTCTAGGGTTACCGCTGACCCCATGCCTGGATAAAGGAGGAGGGCTGGGTATGGGGCCAGCAACCCTATCCCGTAGAAAGCCTTGCTAAGAAGCTAACCAGCATAAGTAACCTTTTAACAATATGGCTCTCAGTTCTATACATACAAGAAGAAGAAGAGTATAGTCGAGTTATTAGTTTCATAGTTGATTGTAGTTAATCTGAATCACATGAGATACAAAGTTACGTTTTTATTCAGAAAACAAGTTCCAAACGTGGTAAGTGATATAACTAAATAAGATATAAATATGACTGACCTGATTATGAAAAAATGAACACAAAATGCATATATCAAAGTACACAACATAAGTTGTAGACAAAAACGACAACAATTGCTTAATGTAGACTATGAAAAAGAAAAATCCTTCGCACTTCAGATCATTATAGAAAAAAAAGATCATGATGTTTATAAGAAAATATGTCATCCTAGTGTATTTTGAATAGAAAAGAAAAATATTTGTTTCAGATAAAATGGATTTCTGGATATTGTCTACTGTCATGTACATTTAATCTGTAGGCGATAGAGTCCCGAGTCGATATCTCTGAAAAGAAAAAACATTTCTCATCAGGGAAAGGTGTACCTAACCTGACAACTCGGTAACTACCCACTCACATGAGTATGATTAATCACTGATTCTATGTCTTGACTTGTTTACACAAAAATCTGTAGAAATCCAACTCAGTAGTTAAGAAATCAAAGTTATAAATGGGGTGTCACGTTTTCTAAACCCACTACAATCATTTATTTTCAATAGGACATGATGCCCTACTATTCTTGGACAGTTAGTTTTAATCATTTTAGTATACAAACCTACTGAGTTCCACAATTTTGTTGCAAATTCTCACCCGCCCTGCTGGTAATAACATTCTCGTCGTCTGGATTTTCGGGAATTGATCACATCATGGAAGACCCACTTAATGACTTACAATACGTAGATGGCATAGTCCTATTTGGTGAAGACACTGATAAAATGCAGTCTTTTGGCAGCAATGATCAACAATGCCATAGTATTTGGAATGCGTTTCTTCCTCTCTAAATGCGAATTGTTGCTTGAGGACTGGCCTGCGTCAACAGCCGAACTAAGGATAGGGAGTGAATTAGTCGAACGCGTTGACAACTTCACTTATCTTGGAAGTATGATTAACCCTAATGGGTTGGTGTTTGATGAAATCTCTGCACGGATTTAAAAGGCTCGTTTGACTTTTTCGAACTTACATCACCTATGGCGGAGGCAAGATATCCGTCTATCGATTAAAGGACGCATATACTGCTCAGCAGCTCGTTCTGTTACGGCTGCGAAACGTGGTCATTAAAAGTAGAGGATATCTGTAAGTTGCTAGTACTTGATCACACACGTTTTAGAAATGTTGCTCACATCTGCTCGGATTACCGAGTAAGTATGTCCAACCACTAATTACCACGGCACACAATGCTGATTTGTATTGGAGACTAATGGAAGAAAGTTAGGGGGGCCAAACCGAAACTTGGCATCAGTTCGTAAAGTCACTAAATTCTGGCCTGAGTCATATTGGTAGATGCAGACTACTTTGTTGGGGTCCACGCGACTATCGCGTAACTGGTGGTTGGAGACCCTGGGTGAC